ATTTTTATTTCATTTCTTTAAGTGGGAGTGGGTGGATTTGGATTGTATGTTTTTTGGGTGTGTGAGGAAAGTAGAAGGTATATGCCGAGCTGATGCACACTTGATGTAATTTTTAGTTCAGTCTTGGGTTTTGGAGCATTCACATCCAGCCAGTGGTGGAAATTTGTGTAACATGAATCAGAAGAAGATCTGGTTTTAGGAAGATTATAACATTACTTTCCATATATCAAAATATTTTGATGTCAGTGATACTAAAACATGGTTTTTATACTATACTAGCAGCATGGCCCAGCATTGCCCGTGCTTGATTCAAAAATCGTACGATTCATACAGCAATCACTATCACTTGACTTAAAATATTTTTTCCCTTACTTGCCTTTAAAGGAGTGCCCTTTGCCGTGCTGATGTTGCTACATGCCTTACTTCTTGCTTATCTCACACTGCAAATTTTTTCTAAGCTCTATACTAAACATTAAATCTGTTAGGAAAAAGAACTAAACAAATGAACACAAAACGATCAGCTTTAAAAAGGACTCGTAACTGGAAAAAAAACCAAATGAAAAAAGAATGTTAACAACAAATACTTTTTCATACCCAACCCAGTTCTATGGAATCAGAATCAACGTTGAGTTTAAGTGTTTAATGAGCCAATTGGAGTAAAGTGCCATGCAGATTTAAATTTTTCCCGCTTGTGACAAATGCAGCTATCGAGTTTTTTTGCATGCTAGTTAACATTCATATCAGTCAGCTGTTGGCTCTCACACTGGCCAATAGAATCTTCCTGCCTATTCGTGGCAGCCAGCTATAGGCTCTCACTCTGGCCAGTAGAAAATGGCCGCAAACTACATGATTACTGCTGTAGAAGGATGAAAAAATCGATTATTTCCACTATCGATGGGAGTTGGGAAATACAAAGTCAGTCTTGGCCTGCCCGCTAACTTGGAGCATGTGCATGTAAATTTTGGTGCAAATCTGTCAAAAATTGTGGCCATGCATTCGTTACGCACACACACACGCACATCCTGCCTTTTATAGATAGAGATACTTGTGTATAATGCAACTTTTGAAGACCTAATTTTTAAGCTAATTTGACTACAGTAAACAGATATATAGCTTGGTCAACAGCATAGCCAGAGCCAGCAGTATATGCTAATTTTATATCTCATATATGTGACCCCATTAAAATTAGCTTCAAAATTAGGTCTTCAAAAATTATGTTACGTGAGTATATACAGTATCTATACATTATTTTTGTTGTCTTTTCCTTCATGTTTTAATTTTTTATTTTTTTGTATTTTTGACATGTTCATGATGAATTCCATAACTGAAATACATTGTAATATATAAGTATTTTGGAAGTAATTAAAAATTTCCCACAAATATTTATGAGAGAGTCAGCATGCAATTTTTATAGTTTTTTGTTGTTGACAAATAACTGACAGGTTCATTCATACTCATGCAATTTCATCATTTATATTACATTAACTCCTTTAGATAAAGACTGACCTTTGATACAGACTGTGGTGAATATTTTGCTTGCTCCAACAGTTTTCCACATTGTTGCAAAGTATCCACAATTCTATCACCTGTTACAGTATTTTCAAAACTAGAAATCTGATTAACAATAGACATTCATATAATTTGCCACCCCTCTAAACAACATTCCAAACTCTCTCACCTCTCTAGGTCTGCCAATGATTACACCGATATAACAGCTGTCACAGTACACTCAAAAGGAATCTTTTAAAATGGAGTTAGTGAAAATTAAACATTCCTAATACTACTTAAAAGTAAATTCAGAAGAAACAATTTGAGTTATCTGTTATTTACTGTTTATTCTGAAGATAAAGTAGTTATGGGAGAGTGATTTGTCCAAGTACTCATTCATTCACTTTTTTTTTTGTCAAACAGTGGTGAAACATTTACTCACAATATCTGGTGATTGATGAGTCAAAGAATGAAATACAGTTGTGACTATCCCAAGAGCATTAGTTATCATCAAAGACAAGCAGATTCTGTTAGAATTTGAATTCAGCATACAAAGTTCAAATATAAGATTTTATAAATAACTACTGTTTGTTAGTACATAGAGAAATATAGTCCAGTTGGTAAAAGAAAGAAAACTTGTAATAGGGAAGCAAATAAAAATTAACTTATGTAAGTATTGGGGTACTTCAAGAGAAAGAGAGAAAATATCTTGGTCTTATCTGGTCTCCAAGGTTCACTATAGGCATTGATATATCTTTGATATTTTTCTTTAGCTCTTAACCCTGATAGGAGTCATTGGGGTGCCAACGTGCTGAGCTGTCCACCATTCACTTCTATCTATTGCTGTCGTGTGTGAATGGTTTCTTGGTGTTTTCATCATGTGGTGTGTCTTAGGGGGTTTTAACTTGGCAGAGTTAGATCAATGTCCTCCAACTAGGTGGCTCACCTTGGTCGTGAACACATGGCCATTGTATTTCATCTGAAGAACCCTGCCAGGTGATCTACATTGAGGCCCTTGCCCAGTGGTGCCATGTTAACGCCACTCCTTCACAAGAGTTTAGACAAATGACTAGAATAACCCAATACAATTAATCCTGAAAACGAGTTATACATGAAACCATTTTGTATACCAAACTGAAATATAAGTCATACTAATATGCAGAATATATACATGGTGCGATGGATAAATCTTTAATTTCATGCATGTGCATTGTTTGTTTTTTGATTTTATCAACTGCACTGTATAGTCGGTCAGTTGGGCACTATCTGGGAGTAAAAGAGCACCATGATGCAATTCATTCCACCAGAAATTTGGAAAGGGTATGCTGTACTGCTTGGCATTCATGCCAGAAGCTACAATACGAACATTTCAGTGTCTTTGGGTAACAATCTGAGGACAGTCCAAAGGATTTAGAAAGCGCTGGATAAAGCGCTAATGGTGATTATGAAGATACAGCAGCTTGGAAAACTCACTGACCGTTCTGATAAGAAAAGAACATCCAAATTTGTTGGTGAGGGCCTCAGATTCTACACACAGGCCTACATCAAGTGTCTTGAGGGGGTACGGCTGCCCTGGGTCAAGAGAGTGGCTGCTGGAAGACCCTATGTATGGCAAGAGGACACATAAGCAAGAGAACCCAGTCATGGCTGTGAGACAATTTCTGCAACTACATCACCCCTTACATTTGGCCAACTAACTCCCCAGATTATAACCCCTTTGATTATTAAAACTCCTTGTAACCCTAAAGATGAGCTGAAGGCAAAGATTATGGCAGCATTCATCAACTTAAACAAGGAAACCACCCAGAAGAGTTGCAGGAGATTCCAAAGTCATCTGCAGCTCATGGTTGAAGACAATGGTGATTTTATTGAATAAATTTACTCTTTAGTATTTCAAGATATTTTTGTGTAATTTTAGTAAATATATCTGTTAAAATGAGATGTCATATGTATGTGTGTGTATCACAAATTGTCTCATATAAAGAAATTAAAGCACATATAAAAAAGGAAGCAGTTTGTGACAGGGATAAGTAAAAAGATGGCTTTACATTTGATAGCCCCCCAAAAGGGACACAATACAGCCTTGTGGTATTACTTAGGTCCTTCTTTTGGTTGAGAAGTACGCTATCCTCCATAGTCACCCACATGCCAACTATGGCATCCACCTCCATGGTCAGCTAAGCAACAACTGAATATTCTCACCAACAGGCTGTCATATGATACTGAAGGGCCGTTTAAGACATCATTACTTTATTTCTGTCAAAGGGAGATAATCCCCTTTTGTATCCCAATATAAGTATTCCCTAGTATATTATGAAGGACAAAGATATTAAACTGCATGCATGACTCAGGTGTGCCCAACTGAAAGAAAAAGGATTATAACAACAAAAATATTTTAACTAGCAGGAATAGTCAACATTGCCCAGGAAAAATAACTTCAAATAAAACAAAGAAAAATATTGTACTTCATAGTAAACTTGATATCTCCCTCCATTTTGACACAAATTACTTTATTTAGATAGAAATGGAATGATATATTCTTTGATGACCTATGGTGACTTAAAATGACTTCCAGAGACAAGCAAACATATGCTATGTCTTGAGTTTTCATGGCAAAGATTATGTCAGTAGCCCTTGTTGTTTGAGTGTGATCATGGCACAGCTGCAAAAGCAGAAGCCTCCAACATTTAGTATAGACAGGCTGTCTTTTTATTTTTACCTAACATATCTACAGAAAACTGTAACACTTACCAGTGAAGTATTATTGAGGTTGATGGGAGTTTATGTCATTGCAATTCTATAGCTCAACCATAAATGACAGAAGTTTCTGTCACAATTCATGAATTAAGACAGTCTTGTATTAGAAGTCAGTGGCAAGAAGACAATTATCAGAGAATGCTGGAATTAAGTCATTTCATGAAAATACTAGTTGAAATAATTTGTATAATAACAGAAGTATAGTATACTTGCATATGGTATAAATAAGTACTTGTTGGGACATGTAGAAATATGGTCCAGATAGTAAAAGACTCAGTCTGTATTTTATCAGTTTCTTTTAAAAATAATTGTTCAGATTGGGTTCATTATTAAAGAATCCCTTAGTCCAGAATAACTTATAATTGGGAACCAAAGTATATTGTTTTGATTGCAAACTTACAACAAAAATAACTTCTTCCATTTGGAACAAGCAAACTAATTTTCATTATTTTTTTTTGGTAATAAAATGAATTTAAAACGGCTTAAGAACAGAAGCATTACATAAACTTGAATTGATACTCATTTCAGTACAAAATAATAGTGTTATATTTTTCACAGTCTTGTAAAGTCACAACAATATTTTTCTCCACTTTGGTCCGGCCTGATCTTTGAAGTAAAAGACGCACACACAGACACAGTTGGTCATGAATCAGTTAGAAGCGCTACCCACTGACGACAATTGACCAATCAGAAGCCAGTATTTGCCCAAGACGAGAAGTGACGTCGTCAAAGTTTTAAAAAGAGGCGCGATCAAAATGGCGGAGGAGTCACTTGAAAGTGAGTTTTCCTTATGTTTGTTATTAGAAGTTGTAGCTTGATTTATTTAAATCTTTAGACTTATATTTAACACCTTCTTTGATTCTTTTAAAACGTGTTTTGGTTATTTTAACTGTTCCTAAGGTTTCTCCTGCAAGAAACCTTTAGAAAATTGATCTGAAAACAACTCTGTTCGTCATATTCGCCTGGCGAACCCATTTTCACTGTTCCAATCTTACTTTATTTTTTGTAAAATTTGTGATTGTTTTATTCTTGTTTAAGTCATCTTTTTACTTGAATCTTTCTCATAAAATCTTTTGTTTATTTTTGTCTAATATAAGACCTTTTGTACGTATTTTATTCCTTCCATCTGAAATAATTTTATTCGTTTGTTGACATTTTATGATGATCGACTCGCTAAAGAATCCAAGAAATAAAACAAAATTATAACAAAAAAATAAAAATTTTCTCATAAAATTGAGTCTCCAAAATTTCGCTTTTCATCTTTTAAAAAAATGTTTTTAATTAAATATGTTAGAAGGGCTTATTTAATTCAGAGATTGATTTCTAAAGATATTTTTTGACGCATATGTTTTGGGTTTTTTATTTTTTTACTCACGAAAACTTATTCTCTTCGTGCAAGATTGAATTAATATATAATATATATATATATATATATATATATATATATATATATTTATTCCAAGAGTTTTTATAATTCTTTTTTATGAATTTTTATTTTGCTAGAATTAATTTCAAAATTATTCAATTTGTAATAATACTAGATATTTTTTTCTTGTTTTCACAGAAAATATTTCATTATTTCAACATTTAGCAATGTTTGGGGTCAAAAACAAATATTTGGAAAAGTTTTATTTGATTTGAAAAACTTTTTAAAAAATCAGCTTTGTCCCTTTTTTATGTGAAAGAAAAAAATGTTTTTCATTAATTAATCAATTCGGTAATATTGAAACTTTTTTACCTTGATTTCTTTTTTTCTACGAACGAAAAAAAATATTCTATTATTTTGAAATATTGAAGCAGTTGTAATAATTTCTATTTTAAATTCTCTGTTATATTTTTCATTCATATTTCATATTTTCTACTTTTTTTTTAATCCAATAAATCAAATAAATTTTAAATTCTCATTTAAAAAAAAATTTTTTTTTTTTTTTTTTTTTTTTTTTTTTTTTTTTTTTTTATGCTGTTTATTCCTAGAACAAAACTTTAAAATAACTTGTTTAGAAAATAGAAATATTAAACTATTTTTTTTTATATTTTTAGTTTTCATTATCGACATTTTCTTTTTTAAATGTTGGCATTTATTTTTTATTGAAGAATTGTTTTTTGTTGTTTTTTAAAATCGCTTTAAAAATCAAGTGCAGTCTCTACCTATTTTTTTTTTTTTTTTAAATCATTTCTTTGACAAATAAAGTAAGAAAATGAATAATTGAGCTTTTAAAATAAAAAGCTCAAAATTTAACAGTTTAAAGTAAACTCTTAACTTCGAAAGTTTCTTATTCTCATTTTCCAAAATAAATTTTTAGTTTTTCTTTTTTTTTATGAATTTATTTATGTGATTTAAAAAAATTTTGTTAGGAATAATCCAATTACTTAAAAGATCAGTAGCATTTTATTTGAATTTAGTACTTTCTTGAGAGCAGTAATAAAAAAAAAAATTGATTTTTTCTTAATACTTTTTTTAGTTTCCATTAATAAATATTTTGCATAGCATTGCCATTTTGATTAACCTCCCCCTCAAAAGGCAATCCTGTTATTGTTTTAGTTTAATTTTCTCACTCTCTAAATTGTACATTAAGCGTTGAAATCATTTCCAAATTCTTGTGAATAAATTTTCACTTTCAATTTAAAAACTTAAATTTTTTTGTATTTTTATTTTACTATAAATCCTACCCTAAATCTTGTTAGTACTTAAAAAAAAATAAGTTAAAAAGAAAACGTTACATTCTCTTATTTGAAATAGATGATTTAAAATAGGTTTCAACGTTCTATAATTTTCCTTATTGTTTTATACTGCTTGATATTTGAAATGTTTAATCTGATAATGTGTGTATACTTTTCTTTTGTCATCTAATTGTCTTCCGCCCCCAAATATCCTGGTTTATTCACTGAGTGAAAGGGATTTTGTTTATCTTTGATGAATCAACTGCATTTTATTTTGAAGCTTTTAGTGTGTCAATCAACTTACTAATTCAGTATGATCACTAAACACTGAGGAGAGATCTTAATGACTTAAGAAATTCTCATAGAAATACATTTTATGCAGCTTGAAATATGTTCTTTTTCTTTATATTAATAACAATATAAACATTTTCAGTTTTAAAGACTTGTGTGATTGTCAGTAATTTTAACTGAACTTTTATTACTATTGATGAATAAATGTGAGCTCTTGTATTTATGGAATCTCATCCAAATAAGTAAAATGCAGCTTAATTTGAAGTGGGGAAACAATTCTGAAAGAGGATTTTTTTTTTTTTTAATGATAGATTATTTGTGAAAAGTGTTTATATTTTTACTGATGAAATGATTGAAACTTTAAACTTGGTAACAATAACCCTTGCAATAAATATCTTTCTTCTATACTTGTTGAATGGAGAGTGATGATTACAAGCAAGTTAGTTTCTTCCATAACAGCAAATGTTTATGAATAATAAATTTTTATATATATATATATATATATATATATATATATAAAACTTAAAAAAAATGAGTCTGATATTATCAAATAAGAATGGTGAATGATGAAATACTTTCAGAAAAGATATAATTTTCTTTTTTTCATTGTTTTTTTGTTTTTACTCATGTAATCATTGTCATTATTTTTTATATTTTAGGTTCTTCAGCCAAAGCTCTTGTTAGTTTGCGAGAAGGTCAGTATGGAAGCCTATTTGTATTTTTTTAGTGCCATCAAAATAAAGATAATGTTACAGTCTGTTTTCTTTTTCTTTCTGTAGAGTTAAACCAGAAAATAGCTGAAGTAATATTTTATATTTTGTGTTGATCTTCATGTGAACCAAATGGAAAACATTTATTATGGAAAAATATCAGTAATTTCTAAAATTATTGAATGGTTTCTTTATTGTTTTCATTACATTTATCCCACCTTTTTTGAATCTCAAAAGTTAAATGAAATTTAAGAAGTTTGATTTTCAAATTCTTGTATTTTGAGTGTTCTGTTGATAGAGAAAACATGTTTCTTACTTGGATCATTTCAAAGGCATCAGAAAAGAATCTAGAATTATGTTGTTTTTTTTTTTATTCTGGCTGGATTTATGCAAAAAGACAGGTGAAGGGATTCACCATAAACATTTTTTGTTTTCTTCTGATATTTACTTTATTCATTTTCAGGGAAAAGTTGTTACAAAACTCCCCCTCGACGAGGCAACGTGAGTATATCGAGCCGGTTTTACACGGTGAGCAATACAAGTTCTGGAATATTTTTTTCATTGCTATATTTAAAATGTATCTAAAATTACATAATGACAAATATATATCCAGTTTACTTGAAAACATTTTAAAAATTCAGAAGTTTCTGGAAAGACATTTTAACCTGTCTCTCTCAAATAAAGTATCTTTTTGTAATGAAGATGATTACAGTAGTAAATGTTGATCATTTCATATTTAAGGAACAATTTTCTTAAACTGTGAAAATAGAATACTTTGTATCATTTATGTCTAGCAATTTGAGAATGAAATTATTTTTTATTTTCTTTAAAACTAATCAAATGTTTCATTGTATTTAGTTATCTTAAATTAACAACTACAATTTGCCAAGTTCAAATTTAAATCTTCTATTGAACTCTTGATTGTTTCAAATGCCAGTGGTGTTGAATGTAGCAATAGACTCACAATACTTCCTCTTTCTTATCAAGCTGCTTTGAATATTTCACTTCATACAAACAAAAACAATGCGCCCACGTCCAGTTCAGGTTAGCTTGTTCTTGCTAATATCACTTGGTTGTTCACCATGTGTGCATGCTAGATGTTGTTTTGGTTTTTTTTTTCCCCCATTTCTGTTTAAGAAACACTCTCTTTCATACTTGCATGATTAAACTAATTGTAACTTCAAATCATATCTTGATAGCAAGATTATGTTAAATGTTGTCTCTTTCGCTTTTTTATATTTGCCATTAAGCTTCCATTGATTTTGTTAACAAGAGACATTTTATGCTCTATTTCAGCCTCAAAGAATCAGGAAAAAGAACTCGAGATTCTATAATGAAGAAGAAGAAACTGGTTATCTGACAAGAACCCCAAAGAAGCAGGCCAAAACTCCAACATCATCCAGTGCATCATCTTCAGTAAGTATAATGATACTATTGTTGAGGAAAGATATATTTCAGAAGTGAGAATCTTTAGCTGTTTTTATTATTTTATTAGTACCAATCAAAAAAGACAAGATTATGTTTTTCTTTGCATTTCTCTATTTAATATTCAAGATGTTTGAATTAAGTCTGGTTTCCAAATCTTGACCTCTTTCCATTGTCTTTTGAGCACCTCTTTCAGTCAAATATGCTTAGTTCATAAATGAGATTTCAGTATTTTAAAACATCGATATTATTTAAAAAAAAAACAAAACTATTAGTGGGTAATTCAACTGTCCAGTTAAAATGTAATAAAAAAAATTTAAAGATTTTGCATTAAGATGAAAAACAAAATAATCAGTGATGTTAGTTTTTTTAAAAAACACTGCAATAGTGTTTAAAAAAGAAGGGAGGTAAGTTTGTTATACTTTATGATACACTTACATTACTATCCTATACATAATATAAAAATAGTTATTGAATTCTATTTTATTTCTAAGATTAATACCTCAAAAACAATGAACATATTAGCTAAAAAAAATATTTCTTTATAACAATAATATATTTTAATCTTTTAAACAATTTCTTGTTAAAATGTAATAAAAATTCAAAGAAAATGTTAAACTTAGTTTTAAATATTATTAGCACATTAATATTATTTGTAGAAAAGAAGAAATATGTGGCTCATTTGAGTAATTATAAATATTTAAAAACTTTAGTATTTCAAAGCTGATCTCACCAAAATATTTTAGCCATATGTTACCTAATCTCTAAGTCAGAATTTTTAATCGTGTCAAGGTTAACTTGATTTCAAATACGTTTGCACAATAAAACCGACAAGCAGACAGTGACATTATATCTATATAAGATTAAAAACTGTTGTATATCATGGAATTTGAGTTGTTACTTTGATTAATATAACAACTTGCAATGATTTAACATTTTGAAGTTAATTGAAATAAGAAAGTAATATTATAATAATATAACTAAAGCCTGGTATTTTTATCACTGTTTACTCCAAAAAAATGTAAAATTTTAATAATTTCTGGAAATTATCAAAAAATTTTAATTCCTGTAGGAAATTTATTGCTCCTACTAATAAATTCACTTACAGCAACGCATGTGCAATTTGAAGATGTGAAATTTATTTTTTAAATGAAAGCTTATTTAATTATCTACACAGGATAAAAAAAATTGGAAATGTAAGTGTAATGGGATTGGTTTAACTAATAGGTAATTAGCATAAAGAGATCTATAATTATAGATCATGATCAACTTTGAGTTAGTGTATGTAGAACATTTATGGCTACTAAGTTTGATCATCATAACAAAATGGCGTCATCTGACAACTCTGTTGAACACAGAAGAACCTGAAAAGGTAAAAATTTGGATAAAATATTTTGAGGCATGTGCCAGAATAAAGAAGTTATGAGATGACCAAACACCTAGAGGACAGAAAGAAATCATGGATCTATTTTTGGCCACTGCAGTATGCAAAGCCATTAGGCAGATTTTGTTAATGACTTACCCGGCTGAAATTGAAAACTTGACATTTAAGGAAGTCAAAGAAATAATATTGAGAAATATTCAACCAAAGAAAAGATTGGTCATAGCTGAACAAGCTAAATTCTTAGCATTGAAACAAGGAATAAGCACAGAGGAAGGATTCATTCAACTCTGATTGGTAGAAGGGCTGTACAACACCTCATAAAGGAAAAATTTTACAATGGCCACAAACCAAATGACTTCGGAAGCTTGTATTAACTTTGTACAACAAGAGGAGTTAATTGAAAAAATTTAAGACAGCCAAACTGAACTTATAGACACATGTGCGATAAAAAGAACAATGATGAAATGCAATTACAGACATGAATTAGAGAGAAATATCCAGCATGGGGACAGACATGTAATAGGTGAAAAAAAAAATCACTTTCATGTTGTATGTAGATAGTGAGATACCAATGTAAGAACTGTTGAAATAATGCACAATGATGTAAAAAGTCAAAACGTTTTTTTCAATAGAAAGGAGAAACAAAAAGAACACCTTCACGAATATTAAATTAAATAGTGTAGACTTAAAAATGTAAGTTGATACTAGAAGCGAAGTGATCCTTATTCCAAAGAATTTTGGGGAACAATTATCAAAACCAAAATTAAAGAAAAGCCTTAGTAAGATTAAGACAGTTTGATGGAACATGTATAAAAATATTAGGATCCTTTCAAGGCACTATTGAAACAAAAAATAAATTAGAAACTCACTATTATGGTCATAGACTTTGTTAATAAAAAAAAAATATTAAATGTATCTTCTCCAACTAATAAAAAAAATTGGAATCATTTCTCTGATTAGCCAATTTTTATAGCAAATTCTTGTCAAAATATTCTGAAAGAATTAAAGCATTTTCTGAGTTGCAAAAGAAGAATAAGGAGTTTGAATGGACGAGTACACACCAGACTTCATTAAATTAAAAGAACCTCTATCTAAAACACCTGTGGTTAAAATTTTTGACCCTAGAAAGGATGTTACATTAACCATAGATACAAGTGGCATCTCTATCAGCAATTTTGTCTCAGGGAGGACACCTAGTGATGTAACTTTCCAGGACATTGACATCAGCTGAATTAAAATACTCTAATATCAAAAAGGAAGCACTTGCGATTGTATAAAGTATGACCAAAGCAAGACAATTTTTATTAGGAAAAAAACTAATTTTTTTAGAGATCATCATAAGCCTTTAGAATTTATATTCCATCCTAGGAAGGAATTGCCAAAAGTTACATCATCCAGAATATTAATATGGGCTATGAATTTAATGGCTTTTGATTATGATATGGAATACGTAGAGGGAGACACAATACCACACGTAGATGCAATTTGAAAAGGAACAAAACGAGAAAAACATAAAAAAAAGTTGAGGATGACTTTTTCTTTGGGTGGAAACACATGTTTTGCCCATGAATAGACAAGTTATGGAGATGTTACAAGATTCAGTCTGAAGTCAAATTTTATCTAGGATAAGGAATAATAAATAAATGTACATAATGATTTGTATTGTGGGATAACCGATACAAAAAACCATTAAAACTGGAAGTGTAGTGGCCAGGACACACTTGAGATGTGGAGAATTATGTACGCAAATGTCCTAAATGTGCTGAAATAAAGAATTTTCACCACAATAAGTTAAACTTTTGGTCTAAGAAAACAGAACCATGGTCTAGAGTTCATATGGATCACACACTAGTTAACAGGATAGGTTTATGTCTAATACTAGTTGATGCTTTTTCTGTCTTGCCTGAAATTTTCTGAATTCAGGATAAAAAAAAATCTATTACTGTAAAACAAATATTATGCATAATATTTGCTAGAAATGGAGTACCAAAAACATTAATAACTGATAATGTTTCTGAATTCTGTGACAAAATGCTCATAGTTAAGGAAGGTCAAAGCACCTCCTTACCACCCACAATCAAATGGGATTGAATGATCCAAACAATAAAGATGCGATTGAAAGCATTTTCTTCTCAGCAAGAAAAGATTGAAACTTTCTTACCAAGATTATTGTTGAGTTACAGAATGATACCACATGCTGACAGATTAGAGAGCCCACCTGCATTGATGGGCAGACAGTTCCATTAACCATGTCTTACTCTATTAATGAAAACACATGGTACAAAAGAAATAAAGAAAACTAACCAGAAAAGGCAAATTTCATAATACTAAAAGGATACAATATAGCATTAATATGCAAGAATGGTAAAAATATTGTTGCCCATGCAGACCAGTTAAGAGGTAGCCAAAATTACAAGGAAGTACAAATCGAAGCCAGTTTGAATGACTATGTAGATGAACAAGAAAATAGGGCAGAGGAATCAATGGACAATCAATGTTCTTTGGAAGACTTAGAGTACGAAACATGGGACACTGAGAATAAAAGAATTAGATCAAGGTCCTTCATAATGAGAAAAACTTGTGAAACCAGTGAGAGGGGGAGGGAATGTAAGGAGAATCCATAGATCCACTCAGGGCGTGAAACCCAAAAGATTCAGGGAGATATAATGGAATTCGTTTAGCTAATAGGTAATTAGTATAAAGAGAGCTATAACTATAGAACAGCTACGGCTACTAAGTTTGATCATCATAACAGTAAGTTTTGGAAAGTCAGTCTCCCCTTCAAATTTTTACTGTGGATGCCCTAATGAAAATTTGCTTTCATAACAAATATGATAATTTAGATGCTATGTCAATCACTTTGCTTATTATTGAATCAGAATATCATTGTTGATGCCATTGCAATAAATGTCTTTGCTTTAAAGTTGAAGACTAGAGTGAAGAGGAAATAAAGCACATAGTTAACTTGGTTTATATTTCTTCAAAGGTTTTGTTTATAAATTTTCATCTGATCACTGTCAGGCTCTATCTGTTTTGCTATTTATTTCTGAAAAGCTTTCTATCTAACATTGATTGTATATTATTACTGTGGATGAAAAAAAACCATTCCAAATGTTCCCTGATTACTGATTCAGACATAATTTCGTTTCTGTTTCAGCATAGTAAGATCACTTGTACCCCTGATAAGAAAACATCTTATGCAATTGGCATACGGTTGCGTAATTTACTCAAGTTACCAAAAGCATACCGATGGGTCTGTTATGAATGGTTCTATTCAAATCTTGATATGTAAGTGTAATTTTTGTATTAAAAAAATATTTTCGTTTTTGATGAAGTCAATTCTTTTAAAATCTTGATTTATTTAAAAACTTAACAATTTCATGAAGGCACAAATGCATGATCTCGAATGATAGATTGTCAGGTTTTATGAATTTAAGTCTAAAAATTAATAAGTTTTATGCTGCAGTTTTTGAAATGAGGACTCATCCTTATTAAATGCTTTTACATTTGAACTAAGAAACTCGTTATATTCACAATATTTTAGCTGTTTTACCTTCTTTACCTTAGGTGTCTGTCATACTTGCTAACCTTCTCAAAATTTTGAACTGAACCCTTTGAGAGTAGATTGTCTTTCTTTGGCTGAACCAGAGTACATAAGTTTTTCTGCATTATATGACTTGTGGATTGAATTCACGACTGACAGAAAACCACTTATGAAACAAGTGACACAAAAGGTAAACTTGTCTGTAGCATATTAACTGATGCAAGGTATTGTGGAATGAGAACAATCAATCCCTATGAATTGAATAAATGGTTAGGTTCAAAATTCTAAGAAGGTTACTAAATATGACAGGGACCTGAAGAAATGTGAGTAACAACCAAGATGACTTTCCTTGTTCAAATCTACAGGCATAATAATGGAAATGAAACAAATTTATTTATTTGTTTTTAATTAAACTCTGTCAGTTATCTTCTAAATACAATTCTTCATAGCTTACATTTTTGTAAAAATGCATGATTAATGATGTAATCAAGAATTTGTTTTAATTTTTGACAAGAATCTCGATTTTTCTCTTAATCTTTAGCTGCTTTAAGATGATCATTTTTGACAATACAATTGTTTCATTTTTATAAGAAATCATTTCTATTTCTATTTCTAGGCCTTTATTCCAGGGTGAAAATGACTTTTGTAACTGTTTAAAAGAATCTTTTCCTCAGTTGAAAACAAAACACTTGAGGAGGGTTGAATGGTGTAAAATTCGGCGTCTTATGGGTAAACCACGCAGGTAAGTGAACACTCTCACTCCCCATTCAAGAAAACATCAGATTTTGACTGGAGGATAGCTAAGGACAAATTAAAAGCAGTATTTTCCTGCACCATTTATAAAGATAGGGATTTTATAGCTTTATTGATTTAGGGTTGATATTTAATAATAATAACTTAATGATGATTGATTTGATTCAGTTAATATGGACTGCTTGATACAACAGAAGATTAATTTTGACTTGCTTTTTATCTGGTTTAGAAAGCAGTGTCTCTTAAGTGGAATTTTCACTTTTTAATAAACTTACCTCAAATGTCCTGTTGCTGATTAGGGATTGAGTGAGTGGTAGTAATACAAGTTCTTCTCAAATTGTATATTATGATGGTTAGTGTTATAATTGTCTTATGGTGCTTTATATCAGCCATTAACTGAAAACTTTATTGAAAAGGTATATATAATTACACCTTAATAAGTCTGAATAGATTGTTAACATTTTAAGTAATAATGATGAAAACTGATAATATTTTTCCTAAATAATTCTTCAAATTGTCTCTAATATTGTATCAGAATGTTCCAATGCTACATGCTGAAATGTAGGAAAAGTCCTGTCACTTTCTTCGCAGCACCAATCATGTCTGATATCAGGTTAGCATGCAGATATATGAAATATAGTAACGGAAATACTTTGCTTTTTGTCAAGTGTTCTGATCATACAAGTTTAGACTGCATGAATTCAAAATGGAAAATAAAACAATTCCAAAACTAATTTGAATTATTAGTTTGCTGATATTTCCATACTAATTTAGAGCAATAAAATCTATGGAATTAAAACAGTTTATTGAGATGCAAAAATATAAATTTTTGTTTTTAGTTTGCTAATATTACAATTTATCACATTTAGAAATTAATATACGTTTTTGGTTCAGTTTGGATAACTTGTAGTTTGTAGGTAGTATAGTTTATCAACTCATAGTTGTAGACTAACTTCTTTATTGTTGAATGAGTTGTTTGTGGAAATGTGGAATGTTTAGAAATGTCTTTGTGTCCGACTTTCAGCATTATTTTCTAATTTGAGAAAATCTGTGAACTTGTATGATGTGTCAGTGATATTTAAATGACTTGATTACACCCTTTTAATAAATTGTTCTTTGGTTTCCTTGAACCTAAGCAAAACAAAAAAATTAATAAAAATGCTTTTCTTCTGTGAAAGGTGACTAATCACATCTTCAAAATAATTTAATCCTAACTTGTGGAATTACATTTTGTAAATATTTCAGTAATTGTCTCAGCTGAGGCAAAAGTTAAGGCTACTAACAATAAAAAATGATAAATAAATTTCTATCATAATTAAAGTTGAGTAAGATGTATGTTCTGAATTTTCTTCCATACATGCCTGAGGTGAAGAAAACAAAAAGCGTTCCATTAATTGTCTCTCTCTCTCTCTTATGTATTTTGGTATGCCTTTTCAAAATTACAGTGCGTAATATCTAACTTAAAGGCAAGGTGTGCATGTATGTGTTGGAGTGTCATCTAAATTCCAGTTAGCATTTCATATATAAAACAACAATAAGAATCCAACGAGAAAGGTAGTTTGGAATATTTTTCATGAAATATGATATTGTCCTGTATTGATTTGAAAGAAATATTTCAGCTTTTCTTGTTTATTACATGATCCCAATTGAAAGGATTATTTTATCCTGTACATTTACAAAAGGAGGATTAATAGTTGTTTCAGTTTTCAATGAGTTAAAGCTTATCATAACTCTGTGTGACTTTGCACGATTTCAGTAGGCAGTTTTTATTGTTTTCGTATTGAACCACTTTAAATACCTAATTAAGAAACAGTGTTTCTACTTGTTGGGCTTGAAAATAAACTTGATCTTTGTATGGAGATATATAATCATCTTTGGCTAAATACCTTTATTTGGAAGAGGCTTGTTTTTAATTATACTCACTTTTATAAAGTAAATAGAATAGTTTCTGCCAACAAATTTTTACTCCTTAAAACCTTTCTATAACAAAAAAAATAAGATACATGTAAAACTATTTTTGGAAATTATCCTGTAAAGTGCATTTTTTCTAATGATTTAAATCTTTTGTCATCTCCCAAATTAATAAACATTTTGTATTAGAGAAAAGCAATCAAGCAAGACGGGTTAATATGAGAAGGGAGACAATTTATGCCTGTTCTATTTCTATTCACGTGACACTTGCTAACTGATGAAGTGTTCAGAAAGAAGTTCCTTGGAGTCATTTAAAATATATAAATCTTCATATAAAATGGGTGTTGACATTTTTACTTATTTATTGGAAATGATTGATAGTATGAATTTCTTTATGTTGTGAGGTTTTTAGTGATGGTAATCAAAAATAATTTTTAACAAAATGTGTCATAAGTCATTATTCTAAATGTTTTAATAGTCCACAACTTCCCCCAAAATATTTTCAGGATTATTAAATAATGTTGTAAATTTATATGTGCAAAATTGATTTGTGATTGACCAAGTTTTCGCTTGTGTGTGCTTTTTTTTTTTTTTTTTTTGATTCAAGATGTTCCGCAGCTTTCTTGCAAGAGGAACGAGATACACTCGAGCAGCGGCGTAACAAGATTCGCTTATTGCAACAGAGAAAATTGGGGGAACTCACCAGTTTTAAGGATTTGCCTGAAGAAATTCCAATGCATTTAGTTATTGGGACTAAAGTAACTGGTAAGACTCTTTTCTATTTCAATTTTAATTCAATTGCAACATGGGAAAAGATAATTTGGGCTAGGGATTAAAGTAAATAAATTTAAAAAAAAAATAATTTTAAAACTTTTAATTGAACGGAATATTTAGTTTTGGACTGAGTTTAATTTGGAAAGTTTCTGACTTTTGCAGCTCGTTCAAGGAAGTTGCAGGACGGACTGTTTACTGGATGTGTTGAAGCTCTGGATACTGTGAATAATACTTACCGGGTGACATTTGATCGGCCTGGTTTAAGGACACATTCCATTCCAGATTATGAAGTATTAGTAAGTAATACAATCTCTTTCTACTTAAATTTTTTTTTATTCTTCATTGTGTTCAGTTATTAATAATCATTAGCAAATGCCAGTTAAAAATTCTGATACATCATTAAAATGTTTCTTAGTTTCAGTATTTTACCTAGAAGATAATGGAATCTGGAGCTAGCCAAAATATGATGTAAAATAGACTTTGTTTGTCTCTATTGTTGAAATATTGACATAATTTGAGATTTTCTATTATATGATTGAAAAATATTATTTTTCTTTAATAATTTGTATTCATAAATTAGAAATTTAATTATCAACCAATATCATTTTGATTTCAGATTTTAACTTGTTAATAATTTCCATTGTACTTCAAATTTCATTTGGTTTAGTTTTTTTTATACAAAAAAAAAATATCTGATTTTGTGAAGTAGTTTAGAATTGCTCCACTTGGTGGAGTCAAGTGCAGAATGATTGTGGCTACAGATTTTAGGCCAATTTTGCTTTTAAAACAATTGACTAATTGAATATTCACACATTTTGTGAATTTTTCTGGGGGAAAACAATCATTGTAATTGTTCATCTTTATGCAAATTTGGTAAGGAAAGATTTATTATTTTTCTCTTATTAGATTTACATTTGAAAAAATTTGGGAATGAATCTTTGCTAAAATGTGGTCCTAATATTTTACATCCTTTTTTTTCACGTGTGTATCTTTTGATTGACCATCTAAAGTAGTTTGTATTTAACCTCTATCTCTAGCATCACTTTAAATGGACATCTTTTTCTCTATATATCTAAATTATAATTTTGGGAATTGAAAATTTCACTGAAATATGTTGAGAAATTTCCAAATTTTCATTTGATATTAAGAAAATATAAACTTTAGTCAAAATGGTCGATATATGGAAAAAATAGATGGCAACAGTTTAAAATGATACCAGCAAAATATGGCTTCATACCAATCAACAATGATGGCAACCATTTTTTAGAAAACTTGGTCTCTTGGGGTTTATGTTGTCAGCTCTCTCTTTTGAAGAGGATGACAACAGAAAATGAAAAAAAAAAAAACTATTAGTAAGTAAAAGTTTATCAGTTATCACTGAGTTAATTTTTATGTCTTGATCATTAAGATTGATCTCAGGTAATATTGCTGAACTTATATTACAGATTACTGTGAAAGAATTACCATTTTTCTATTAATTAAGGGTTAGCAAGTTGATTTCACGTTATTATTGAGTCGTGGATTTTGATCTTCTCAATGTTCCATACATGTGGCCTTGTCAAGCTAAGTTTAGATAAATATGTAGTATGAACTGAGAAGTAACAAATGCACAAGAGGTAATTTGTATTATAAAAGAAGAGTTGATTCTCTATCATGCTTTGCATGCCTGTATATATTTAATGTATATAAGTATGTCTGTGTTGTGCATGATTGACTTACATGTGCTTGTATCATTTAATGTACTTACATGCATACACAAGTTGACTTGAGTTTGTAACAAGACAGAGAAACAGCTTAATTTCTGTCAAACTGCATCTTTGCTTACATGTGTGTATGGATGTGAAATAAAAACAAAATCTTTTCTTATCTACAGTGAGAGAGCTTTAGTATCTTATCAATAATTATTTCATTCTGTTTATGTCTATTGATATCAGTCTATTATTCATGTCTATCATATATCGATTTCTTGGCAAAACACTGTTAATTTTGTAAACCCCGAAAAAAAAAAAAAGATAATTATAAGATTTTATTGACATTTTGAGAAATTATTTGATGATAAATTTTTTTTTTTTTTTTTTTTAATTTTATAGAAATGTTTATACATGCATACACAGAAATAAACATAAACACATAGTTTGAATAAAATTGAAATGGACATCTGCATCATAAGGGCTAACTTCTGAGTAACAGGAAAAGAGTATAAGCCAAAATGTGTGGTGCTTTGGAGTCATTTTTATAATGCTTATATTGAAACAGAGTATTTTTCTGCTAAATGTTTGTCCATGTAAAATACTGCAATTTGAATTTAAAATTTTGATCCTTTTAATGCAAAGTGACACTGTATCTAACTAGTATAAATAGAGATGGGAAAGAAATAAAAGGATAGCAGTCAGCATACTTTGACATTGTTTTGATGGGGGCAATCATTCGTGTGCATGTTTTTGTGGTTATAAAATTTTTGTACATGTTTGATACTTTTTCGATGGATTTTGCATTTGTTGTGAGCTCATGTTGGAAGCAATATCAGAAGGGAGACTTTTTTCCTTAGAGTCTGATCAAACTAACCAAACTTTGTTCATTGCAATATCATATAATTTGCTTTAATATAAAATGTTACTTACTTGTTTGTTATTTTCCTTGTGTGTTTGTAGAGTACAGAACCCCAAGAGACTACACCATTGTCTGCATTCCAACAACGACATCGGTCCAGATTAACAGTTGTTTATCCACCTCAATTTGTTCCTGGCATTGGTTCACCTAACACTCACTTGGTAAGACATCCTTTTTGCCAATTCATGAAGACTTTGATACAGTGTTTTGTAGGTTTTTGTTTTAGCATTGTTCTTCCAATATCAATAAACACAAAATTTTGGAAACTTTTAATGTGGGTGCTTTTTGCAGAATGTGTTACCTTCACAGTGATTGAAGAGATTTTATAAAGATAATGAACTTGCAAATGTTAAAGTTTCTCTCTCAAAGATCAATGAATTAATTTAGTAGTTAAAAGGAAACATTTAATACAAGCAATTCTCTTACATAAAACTATAATTTTACCTGTCTTTACAGGTTTTTAGAAAGATTCATATAAATTAAACTGTGCATTGACCAACCTTCTCAAAAAAAATTTTCAGGAAATTTCACTATTTAGGGGCAAATGATATAGAAAATTCAAAACAGATTAAACTAATGAATAATTATTTATTTTTATCTGTATCTGAAGTGTGGGTGTTTTTTTTAGCTTTTTTTTTTCTATTGATATATTTCTCAAATATTTTTTCTCTTTAACACTATTTACTATTTTATTAAATGAGTTTGCTTGGAGTTTTCCTCTTATCTCGCCATTCAGTTAAAACACTTTAGCCTTATATACAACCTGTTCATATTTGTACTGACAGTAACCCCCCCCAATTAATAATGAGAGTTAAGTATAATTTCTATTGGCTTGAAGTGTAGGACAATTTCAGAAAGGTTTTCTTTTTCCTTCTCTGATTAATGTTCATTTTTTTTTTCTTTTTAGGATAATGATCCTCTTCTTAGTGGCTCTCCTGTCAAAGGCCGATTGATGAGTTTAGAAGGAGAGACATATGGTGGATTTCCAATAAAATTTTTAGTGCTTGTGGTAAGCTGATTGTTGTATTTAATGGCTTTTTTTAAAGAATGTTAAAATCCTTCAGCTCCACCAATTTTACCAGAGAAACACTTTATGAAGCAAATTAGGTAAATTCATGTTTTATAGCAATGATTGGTGTGATTAAAATTCATCTTAAACAATTAATCTTTATTGGCATACAGCCATATCATGTTGAAACACTGATTCTCATATGAGCATCAAACTTAAGCAACGTCGAGCCTGGTCAGTACCTACATGGGTGACTACTCGGCATTAACAAGTACTGTAAGCTTGAATGTGCATGTGGTGTAATGGCTAACAGTTCTGAATTGGAAATCGGAGAGTAGAGTGCCCATTTCAGTTGGGTTTCTTATATTCACTGACATGCAAATATCCATGGTAAAGATATGAATCCATCTCTTCCCATCAAAGCTATGGGTTAAATAGTAGGACTTATATCAGTAAATCATTATTATCTCAAAAAATTCTTAACAATTAAAAATATTTTCTTGCTTTAAATAACTAGCGAAAGGTTGATAAGCCATAAAAAAATAAATCAATCAGTCAATTGATAATTGTTGAATCTCATGAATTATTTCATGCAGTCTAAGAAATATTCCCATATTTTGTTTTTTAATATGTGATTAGTCTGTACAATGGCTGTAAAATTTAATTTTAATTTATACTGAAAATATATGTAGTGTGAAATAACATTTGTCATTGTAATTTAACTTGTTTTTTGTTGTTTTTTTTTTTTCTCTTTTTTACCTCCAGAAAGACTTCAAATTCTGTCTTGCTGATTTTTTATCTTGAGTTGATTTATCTGAATAATTTTTCATATTTGACTTGATTGCTTCTCTACTATTATTTTGTTCTCCCCAGACCAAATTATCAAAAATCCTTTTGATAAAAAAAGATTGGATTCGACAATTAAGAGAAATGAATAGCCAAGCAGAAAAGTTGGTAAGTAGACTAGATGACCAGATTTTGTCAAAGTAGACATTGTTCTTATTTTGGTGAAAAGCTAAGAAAAGTTGAGTAACATTTTTTTTTTTTCATTCTTCACAAAGGATAAGAAAAAGAAAAATGATATGTTTAACTTGGTTATTTAATTAACACTTCAATAATGAAGTTATCAACATTTTAATTGTAGAATTATATTTTTTTGTAGGAATCTTTGCAGCAACCAATCACATTTGAATTCCAAAGGAAATATGCTGGCATTGTATTGGAGCTTGAACATCTTAATAAAGACTTACAAGAATATCTAAATGGTGTACAGCAGTTTTGCCAGAAGGTAAACTAACTTCAGTTCATAATCAAGTCATTTATATTGAGCATATTTTCAGGACCTTTTTATGTTCATTCAAAAATAGCAGCTGAACCTTCTTATTCTAAGTAATTTCTATTATAGTTGCATGAGAGTGAATAACATTCATCTGTAATTGTGAATACTTTCATTGTAAAAAGTAGTTGTCATTCATTGACTTGTTTATATGTTTTTAACCTTCATTTTGTTATAATTGGATGCCTTTTCACTGATCAAAAAGGCAAACAAGCTGGTAAACTTTCTGTATTTAAAAACACTAATATTTCCCATTCTTTTTATTTAATTTATTATATGTCAACAGATTTTTTTTATTGTTTAAGAAAAATGAAATTTTTTATAGTATTTTTAGTATAAAAAGGAAAAATCTTTAGTATTAGTGAACAAAGTTTTTTTTTTTTTTTTTTTTTTTTCATACATTTTAATCTTATATTCTTAAAGAAATTATCTGATTAAAATAAGTAATTCCAAAACTTTAAAGAAGCTATCCAATTAACATAAAAGTATTTGGTATTTGAAATATTTTTCTTTTTTTTTCTTTTTTTGGCAGATGGCTCCAGAGCAAGGCTTAACTGCCATTGATCAGCCCTCTGAGATCAAACGTCGTTGTGAAGAAGAAGCTCAAAAAATGGTTCAGAAAGTCAGTCAAGTAAGACTGAACGAGCTTTTAATTTGATACACATTTTGTTCATCAAATTAATGAATGCTAAAAAATGTTATATATTACACTTGTAACTAGGAAAGTAACATTCAGTTTATTTGCTTAGGATAAAATTGTTGATATTTTTTGAGATTCTGTCAACAAATTGCTGTTCTTAATTATTTGTGCAAAGGTGTTATTCATTTTATGGAAGATATTGTTCCAGCCTTAATCTCACTATTTAAAAAAATGTTTCAATGAGTGTAAATATCGTCATATTTAAAAAAGAAAAAATATATAATTTTATATTTATCTGCATAATGTATAATCATATGAGCAATTGATTTTTTTAATGATTGCATAATTGATGAAGAATTTATGCATAATCTCTATGACACTTAAATTCTTTCACAACTATTTAATCTGGGAGTCTATTGCATATTTTAAGAGGCTAACTATAAGGTTATGGCTTTCCCAAGGTTTTCTGTTATTCATAAATGATGAATTAATTAAAAGCTATATATTTATTTCTAAAAAAAAAAAAAAATAGTTAAAAATATACTACAGCTTGGTTAAATTCTTAAGCTAGATTGAATTCTTTATCTCTTTTTATGTCAGTGTCTCTTGATTTCTTGTAGGCAATCATGATTCACCATAGACTTTTCTTTAGTATTTGTGAATTTCTATGACTTCTTGAAAAAGATAATGGAGTAATTTCCCATTACTGTCTCCAGGCTTTTGAATTCAAAGTTTTCCTTTCCAGACTGGTTCCCCCACAAAGCTAGGAGAGCCCAACCTCCCCTACTATATAACTGATAAGAGTGGGAGAGAAGAGACAGATTCATGTTTTTCCTAAGGGTACTTGTGTGAAACTGAATGCAAACCAGAATTTGAACTTGGCTGGCCAATTTCATTTTCTGTACCAATACCCATCTGTATGAGATCAATTGAAATATCTTGGTATACTTGTAGGAATGTTCAAAATTCAAAAAGCTGAATTGATAAAATGTGCTAATAAAACAAGCAAGTATAAAGTAATCATTAGAAATATTTTAATAAACATTGGGTTTGATTTTTCTACAGAAAGTTATTAGAACATTTTTTCTTTGTTTAACTAGCAAATTAACATTGAATCCTTCAATCCTATTTCTCATTAATTATCTTTAGTCATAAAATAATATTTACACAAGTTCATAAACTGATTTTCTATGGTGTTCTCCCATCAGTTGCATCTTACCTGAATTAAGTGAAGTAATATGTCAAAGTTGTTTGTTAATATTAGTTAACACTCTCTGGAACTAAAAGTTGTAATAATTTACTTCATAACTGATCTCTGATTAGTCTCAGCTTAACTAATCCACTGTAGCTGTTTCTAGCCAGTATATATATTTAAGACAGTCCATTCCATTTACAGTGATGAAAGGGTGTGATAACTCTAAACATTATGCATTATAAAAGTGAATCTGCATTTGGTATTTACTTAAAAAAAAAGACAATATTGATCAATCTCTTACTTTAGGATAAGTGTAAAATGTTTACTAAGCTAAACATTAACACTTTCTTTAATCTACAAAGTATTCTATACAGATGGATCAAAAATCCTGGATAGAACAGGTGCTGCAGTCACCAACAGAGAAGTCCACAAACAAATACAACTGCCAAACAATGCATCCATTTAGACAGCTGAGCTAAAAGCCATAGAAATGGTGCTTGACATGATCAAAAACTCAAAAGACAGAAAATTCATCATTTTCTCACACTCCCTTTCCAGCCTAAAAAGCAATTAAGGAAAAAATCCAAATCATCTTTTTTATGTACATTAAATATTGGAAGCCTGTCATTATTTGATAGAAGACCACAAAGTGGTTATCTTGGCCTAGCTTCCTAGTCATGTAGGCATTAAGGGAAATCAAAAAGCTTATGTACTGTCAAAGGAGGCAACCAAAATGACAATAACCAACATTACACTTTCATATACAGATTACAAAAATAAGATCACATAATACGTTAAAAGAAAATGGCAAACAATTTGGGATACATTTTTAAACTGTACAAACAACATCAGTCAACAGTCAAACTGGATAACAGAGAATGATTACCTGATCAAAGACAGGACATACTGCTAAGCAGAGTCCAAATTGGACATACATATCTTGCACACAAATACTCAAAGCAGAAACTGCACCTTGGTGCATCTCTTGTGATCAATTGCTCAAGCACATCCTAATAGACTGCAAAGAATACAAAAACACACAACAAATACTACGATGTACAAAATTTTATTATGCTTTTAAAAGGTGTATCTGTTTCTCAAATAATAGGTTACCTAAAAGACATAGGCTGTTTCCAACACTTACAGAAGAAATCACAATACATCTTATATATAAACTATATAAACAATACATCTTGTATATAAACTATATCTAAAAAACATACGTTTACCCTGAAAGTATGAAACTGTATAAAACATCTGTTGCTGAAGCCATAAAGTTGTGTACAAAATATTTGGATTTCAGCATATATTTTTTTAGAAATGATTTGTTTTCACTGTAAGAGTGACTTTATAAATTTATAGTTTAAATTCAATTCAAACTAATTTTTTCATTGAATTTTCTGCTCAAATTGAACAGATTTTTAATTTTTTAGTGCAACACCAGTGAATATGAACACAAGCTTATCATGTCTTTAGATTTTAAAAATCATTTCTCTGTTTGCAGCTTTAACAAAAATCCCTGCTTTTCTTTTTCAGAGTCTTTGGAAATGTGTCAAAAATGAGCAAATGCTGAACTTGATTGTTAGTTTAACTTCTCTTATGCTCCAAGTGAAGGTAAATTTTGTTTAATTGAGAAATGATTTAATAGAATAAAAATGCAATCTGTAACTATTGCAATGGTTTTAGAAAGAGAAATATTTAAAAGCAGTAAAGTGTTCTAAAAGATGTTTTAGTTTTATTAAAACTGACTAAAAATTGTAATGATATGCAACTGGAATTCTCTTTTTGATTGACTGACTGAAACTATTAATGGCTACTGCACTGTCCACAATCCATCTGTTTTAAATATTTGACTTTATCAATATGAACCTTTTATTTCACAATCACACTCTACAAGAAACCTAATGCTTGATTTTAGTGTCTACCTATGGTCTTGCGAATTTGCTTATTTGTTTTTTAATTTGGTTAGCTTCTGATTCTTGATTTGAGTTGCATTTATCTAAAGCTTATTTTAGTATTTAACCTTTGATTTATTCTTGATTAGAAAGTTTAAAAGCACCTTAGTGGAAATGTTGATAATGTTTTGTTTGTAGGTTTCAATATAATAACAGGAAGTAATTATTGCACCAATGAGCATTTTATACAAGTAAAAATAGGAACATCAGTGGCTCTTAGCTAAACAAAAGAATAGGGTAGTATTAACTCTTGTTGAATATGGCAGCTTATTGTTTAATTTTTATGTTAGACTCATATGTTATTTCCAAAAATAAATAAATTGAAAATTTTTACATTTTCTGATATCACTTTTGAATTATTTGTAGACATTTGCTGAGAATGATTTCAATTCTTTTGAATTCCGATCCCTTCAAGACAGTTTGAATGACATAAAAAAGAATTTGGATGGTAACAATATCAAGTAAGTAAAATATTGTCCTTTTTTTTTCTTTTTCTTTTTTTCTCACTTGATACACAAATGATAAATCCTATCATTTACTATGTTAGGTGCTTTGCTTGACTTTGCAACTCCCAACAGTTCCATTGAGGCATTAGAAATATAATGAACTGTGTGATCTTTGTTGATAATGATGACAACTTTGATCACTTCATAAATATAAACATATTAAAATTGAATTAGCTGATCTGATTCTTGAGAATAATTTTGCTTATAAATATAATTAAATGTTTCAGTTGTTGATGTGAATTTTATCAGATCTAATAATTTAAATGTATTTTTCTCTGTCTGACTTTCTAGAAGAGTATGAAAAAATTAATATAAAACCATTTAGAATGCCTTGGTGTTCTAAATTATTCAATGATTGACAAATGAGAAGGTGTAGCAATTTTTTAAATTGCTCATTACTGATTTTAAATGACTAATTATTAATAATAAAAAAAAAATATAACTACTTTTTTCTATTATTTTCTTTTGAAATGCATTATTTATGCAGTTAATGATGTTTCTCTTTCAGTTCTTTTCAAAATAATGTGGAGATTCATATCAATCATATCCAGAGTGGCCTCAGTCAGATGGGTAACTTACATGCTTTCTCTACAACCACCACCACCACAAGTACAACCACCTGCAACCCTTAACATAAAAGTGAATCTCATCCACAAAACTGTTCACTATTGACTCCAAGACTAATGCTGATGGTCTTCACTCTTACCTGCTTTTTGTATTTGAAGGCTGGTGTGTACATTGTTGCAGTTGAGTCAGCATTTACTAAGAGAATAGCTTTTTTATCATTGTCAGTAAAATATGTTCTCTTGATTTGTTTGGATATTTATTGCTTATAGTCCCCGAATTTCTCTTGCCTGGTTTCTCCTTTTTTATGATTTTTTCTTAAATAGGTTTCAAGTTTCTCTGTTCAAAGCTTGATTTAATTTCAGTTTGAATATTTTATAAATTTGAAGAAATCACTCATTACTTTTTATTTATCAATTCAGATTGTCTTAATCCGCTGCAAATATATTGGAAATGGAAATGATTGTATAAATAATTGAGTGACAATTTTTTTCTTATCTTCCTTTCAAATGTTCACATCGGGATTTTGTAATTGTTTAAAATATTTTTTAGACATTGGTTTCTCTTCTTACAGTACTTTTGATCTCACTTGTAAAATATCAATCATCCAAAAGCTGTTCTCTTTTGACATCTTGCCTCTAAATTGCTTACTCAACAAAACAATAAGATTTATACTTCAGAAACTATACAAAAAGGCAGAATTACATCCAACTATTTTGTTTGGGGAACATTGATATTGTATATAAGAAATACAATCATCTTTGTGTCAAATCCACTTCAGCATGTCCCAATTGTTATGACATTTTTTATTTAATATTTTTTGCTTTCATTAATTTGAAATCTTTCCTCTCTTTTTAACATTTCCATATCCAGTCTGCCTTTGAATTATGCTGTGGCTTTTGTTTGTGTGTAAATTTTGTAAAGGCTGTGATGTATAAAATCCTTCCCTTTCTGTAAATGCAAATAACAATTAGACAATTACCATGGACAATTTTCAGGTGCTATCATCATCATCATGACATAAACAGAAAAGAATGACCTCCAAATCTAGGCTTTGCTTAATTTGCAACATTTTACCCAATGATTGGGATAATCATATGTATTAGAATTCTGTTTATCTAAATCCTATAAATGCTAATAAACAATGACGTTAAATGTCATTCCACTTTGCAATTTGTGAAAAACAATGTTTTTTGATGGGGAAAAAAATTGCTTTGCTCTGTTTTTTGGTTATTTACTTTTTGAAGAGACACTTTTAGAAAAATCAAGACATTTTTTATTCATGCAACAATCTTATGCCAAAGTGACTGATTGGAAGAAATATTTTTTTTCTAATAAAACTTACAGATATTATTTTTGTAGATATAACAGCCACCACATAATTTTCTGGTGTCTAGATTTAGAAAAATAAGAGAGGTAGAAATTGCATTCTAACAAAAAGTATATTTTTGATGGAAAATTTTTTTTTTCTATTTCTCTAATATTTATCATTCATATTTTGTTTTTCAAAACTTAGGCATTCATCTTCATTTGAAGTTGTTGATATCAGCCATTGAACAGATCCCTATTGTGTCCTCTTGAATTACAATTCTTACTGATTTGATAAACTGAAATAGGCAAAGATGAAAATCTATGATAACTTGTTTCATTAAGGCATGACGGCAAACTTCACAAATTAAGCCTCCATTTCAGCAACCATTCTGGATTTCTGAAAGCCTCCACAAAACATTTGACACTGATTATTGGCCACTACTTTATAAGATGCAGTAGGTTATTTTTATTATTTTTAATAAGTAGCAGAGACTGTTGAATATTAGAAAACTGAGCACAAGATAGAAAAAAAGTAGATATTTTCATCATATAATTCCTTATTCCTGCTGTTGCTGCTCAGTTTTATAAGAAAACTTTGTTCTTGGCTATTTGTTGACAAATTAGGATGTGGTTTGTGTTAGGTTTTGAAAATATATCCACATGTGGTTATACTCAAAATACATTTTTTTTTGTTCATTATGCAATTTGATAGGTTTCACCTCCCCACCCATAAATTTGCCTTATAAACTCTTGAGAAGCAGAGCAAGAGGCAGAAATCCAAAGGAAGTAACTAGTTTCAAACTTTTTTTTTATCTAATTGTTTTTCTTTTCAAATGATTTTCTTTTATTTATGTTTTAAGTTTTCAATTGATTTGGGATTTAAGATTTCATTATGAATATATATATATACACACACACTCTTTCTTTTTCTTTTTAGAATGAATTTGCCTTCAATTTAGTTGTGTTGTCAGTGTGATTTCTTTTCATTTTTCATCAATGCTATTTCTTTTGTGTTGCTTTTGACATATTTCCAAATGATATCAACATGAATGTATCTTTGTTTTTGTAATTCTAGTGTGCTTTTCAAATGTTAGGCAATTTACTGATTTTTTTTTTATGCCCAAAAGAATCTCTTACTTGCATTGGACATAATTCTGAGTTAAAAAAAAAAGTTTGCTTTTATTCACTTAATGCTTTTTATTGGAAGTATTTAAGAAAATATTTATCAATCATTTTCTTTCTATAGAATGGAGAAAATCTTTAAAAAGCAAACGTTAAATCGTGTTTCATGAAACATTGACAAGATTTATTACAAAATAGTAATTAGCAAAGAATAGTAAAAATGTGATATATTATTTCTAAACTTAAGAAATTAGCAGCCAGACATTCATTACTTATGCAATTCAGTAAATAAATTTTTATGTCTACTGGTTTTGATTTATCCAAGAAGACATAGGAAATGAATGCAGAAGAAAGTCAAGAAAAATTGTAGGGCTTTTCAAGACTCAACTTAATAATTCAGGGTTAATTACACATTTATCAAAGTGTATACTTTCTTCTCTAATGGAAGAAATAAGATGACAAAGTGATTGCAGTACAGGACACAATTTAACTTTCTTGATGTCCGGAAAATATCAAGTTTAGGCTTTTGAATTTTTTTTTTCTCCCAATTTTGTGAAGATAATAACTTTGTCAAAAAAAAAAAACCCCAGAACTTTAATGTATAAAAATTCTTGGTCTGCTTTCTCCTGCCACTAGCAGTTTAACTTCAGATTGCTAATTGTTTTTCTCAGGTCAGATTTAATTTCTTGCTTCTGTCTTCAAAGTTATTCTGAGCTTATTTACTTAATATTTAGATTATCTGGCTTTCTCTACAAATCACCAATGGATCACCCTTGGAAATTTTCTGAACTCACAAACCTCATCTATTGAGAATTCTCCTATTTGTAAATAAGTTCAAAGATTATGTTTATTGCTTTGGTTTTCCTATTTAAAATTGTGAGTGTGTATGCTCCTGCTGTTAAATTTTGTTTGTCAACTCATGACTTGGAGATATCGTTTTGTCAGGAAATAGACATCATTCAATTATTTCTGCAAACCAAGAATACATCAAAATCAGACTGTTAATAATACAGTGAAATTTGATTTTACAAAACAAGTTTTTATATATAAACAAATTTGTAAAATGTGATAGGACATATTCAATGTTTGAATAAATTTACTTTAAATTATCCTTTTATTCTTGTGCAATACATCAACTTCTGTTTTCTCTTTTTAGCCACCCCCCACACATATATATACACACACACACACACACACACATATATATGTCTCTTAATAATTTTAGTGTAGATGCTTGCCTGAACTCAATGATGCTACTGTTATCATTGTTGTCATCAGCCATGAATATTTTGAAGGACAATGAAAGAATAGAAAACACATTTATTGAAATCATCCTTCTTTGCCTTTGGTTCTTCCAAAAGAAAATATCTGAAAGCTATTAAGATGTTCAATGAAAGTAATGCACAATCCTCTCCCTGCAAAAGAAAAGAAAAAAATTATCCAATTTGTTCATCCAGTTTAATGGAAGCATTTTTTTCTCATTTAATTTAATTTTTTTTTATTTATTTATTTTTATTTTTCATTTAATTTTTTTTATATTTGTACAAAAAAAAAATATTAAATAAATATGTTGGTTTTGAATTTGGCTTTGTTTTTCTCTCCATGTCCCCTCTCCTAATCTATATATCATATTTTGGTTAGCATTCAAGATATAGGGTGTTCCAATAACTTGGGCCAATTTTAAATGTGAATTAAGTTTAAGCATCTAGTGATTTTTTTTTCTTTTTCTTTCAGATTTAGCAACTTAAGTCTGGCAGTTTCAACCATGGAAAGATTAACAATCAAACAACATGTTAAAGTTACCAAAGCCTATTATGAAAATGGATGTTCTGATTTATAAATATATGGCCCAGTGATTCCGCTGGCAAAAAATGCACACCAAATAGTGACCTTTTGTGGATGCAGAGACTTCAACAATCTTCCTTGGATTTTCATCAGCCCAAATGCAATGATTCTGCTTATTAACGAATCCTCCAAGATGAAAATGGGCTTCATTACTAAAGAAGATTTTTTGTGAAAAATCTTCATCGGCTTGTCTTTTCTTGTGTACCCAATTGATGAATCTATGGTGCTCCAAATGGTCAGCAGGTTTCAGTTCTTGTGTTAATTGAATTTTGTAAGCATGTAGAGAAAAATCTTTTGTCAAAATTTGATGTAACATTGTTCAATTCCTGTGCGCAATAACAAATAGAGGTGTCTGGATTTTCGGCCACATTATCATGCACTGCAACAATGTTTTCAGCTGAATGCCGTAAACGAGCATGAAATGGTATTTTCACATCTGCCACCGACCCAGTTTGTTTGAATTTACAAACAATTTTTCTAGTTGTATCTCGGTTGGTCGATTATGTTGACCAAAAAAATTGTGAAGTGAACGAAATGCATTTCTCTTTGAACGTCCATTTTCGTAATAGGCTTCAATAACTTTAACATGTTTGATTGTTAATCTTTCCATGGTTGAAATTGCTATAGACTTAAGTTATTACATCTGAAAGAAAAAAAAAATCATTAGACAGTGAAACTTATTTCACATTTAAAATTGGCTCAAGTTATTGGAACACCCTATACAATCCTAAAATGTGCAGTACTATACAGATCATTACAGTAAAGCATAAATAAAGATACGAACTTGATAAGCAATTTTTAACACTGAACAAAATTGAAGATGATAGATCTCATCAACTAACTGCTGGGTAAGAAATTATGACCCTGTGGACAAGAATTTTTGCTTATGTTTGCATTAGTGTTATCTCACTGAAAATATTGTACCAGCAATATACTTATTTTGAGCCACAAGATGGACATGATTAGATTTATGTATCCAGGAGCTGGTGAAATATAAGCTATTTATCATTTATTTCTGAAATTTAATATGACATTTTTTTTAAATATTTTATTACTGTAATTGATTTCATCTGCAAATTTTTTAAGGGGTGAAAATTCTTCCAAATTTTTTTAATCTGAATATTATGTGTTGCATTGCAAAAAATATAGTATGAATTAAATGAAGCTCAAAATGAATGGCACACAAAAATTTGGCTTTATTTTCCAATTTAATACACGTGAATAATTTTTCTTTTTTGCTTCAGTCTGTTCATTAAAGAAAGTATGGATCAAAGTTGAAATCTGCCAGTTTCATGGGAATCAATTTTCATCAAAAACAATTTCTGTTATACAATACTTTTAAGAACTGATCAAATTTTCTATGTTGAAAGAAGATTGTGGGACCTTTTACCTTTTTGTCTCCTGAAAAAGAACTTTATATGCCAATCATTATGCCCTGGCAGATATCAAGTTAAAAACCTTTAAGATTAATCAGAAACTGTTTATAAAAACAAAACACAATGAATTATTATTTTCTACAAATTGTTACATTTTTTCTCATTCCTGTCCCACACCAAAATATTCAAACAATTCAAATCCATTCCAAGTATGAATTTAACAGAAAATGGTTAAACAGATAAAATGTAATAGTGAAAGTCATAAAATCTCAAGTGTGGTTCACTAAGTTCCATTGGTATTACTACAAACTGTGTGTCTGGTATTTAGAACATATTTTGTTTAAAACCATGAACTGCAAAATAATGGTTTATTCTACAGAAAATCATGCAAAATGCATCCCACTCTGATAAATATTTGGCAAAGATGCTTTCTACTGAGAAATAAGCAGTGAGGAAAAGTCTCAAGCAAAATCAGGAACATTTGCAGAAAACCATTTTCTTTTTTTTTTTTCTTTATTAACCCAAACTCTTTGTTAATAAGCAATCAATCCTTACAGCAAATTTGAGTAATTGTGTTGTAAAATATTGAAGTACTAACCATTTTTATTGAAATTCAGATAGAGAATGTGAAAAGGTTGTTAGGATGAACAAAATTCTTGGAGGCAGTACTTTTGAAGGAAATGCAAGACATAGATTTTGATAAAGAATTGGTTTCCAACTCTGCATTTGGATTCGTGGCACATTTTAATAACATTGGTTTTTCCCTTAAATTACACTTCGTGTACAGTTCCAAATAAGTTTGCCTGGAATCAAAAAAATAAGTCCATTAATAAGTTTACATTTTGACTTGATATAAAGAGATTTTGTAGATAGCAAGCAATTCTAAAGAATGAACATATAGTGAGAAACTGTAATTGTTTGTCTTTCAGTAAATTTGTCTAAAAGCAAAATTGAATGTCACTTGTATTGAATTTATTGTTTAATATGTAATTTATTTCACTTGTGGAGATTTTATTCAGAAAAAAAAAATCACATTTAGTCAGTTGTAGGGTTTTTGATAAGCACTAAATTGCAGAGACCAAAATTTAAATTTGAAAATTAACCTTTTAGTGCTCAGACATGGCTGCAAAATTTAACAAGCACCTGGATAAATAGCTAAGTAATAACTTGTATTTTAACTTGATATGTAAGCACATATATTGAAAAAAATAAAATGCTCTGGTATAAAAAAAAAAGCATCTTAAAATATGTTCCACAATACAGCGTTAAGAGCAGAGACAGGAACTACAACAGAAGATAGTAAAGGAAAGCAAGAAGAAAGGACTAACATCATTTATAAGAAGACAGAATATATGGTTGTCAGCAAAAAGAATAGCTCAATATGTGACCTACAATTCATAGATACCAAAAATTTAAATACCTAGGGAATGTTTTAACAGAGGACAGAAAATGTAACAACAAAATTCAAAGGGGTATTGAAAAGGCAAAAGATGTCCTCCAAAAGCTAAGCAAAGTATTAAGAAACAGAAAAAGTACTGGACTGTTGTGCAATGTTAGTCTTAAATGGTGGACAATCTCATCACAAATGAAGTGATTGTACAGAAGGATGCTGAGAATACCTTGGACAGAACATGTGAGCAACAACAAAGTTTCAAACATGAAAAACAAAAAGGACATTTACACTAGTGTGTAAAAGTTATGGGCGAATTACATAAAATGATTATACAGCTTTATTTTAAGATTATTTAACAGTATGCTTGTATAAATGAAGGATTGAGGATTGGAAAATAAGTTGTTGCTTTTTTTTGTGGATGTCATGTAACAAGATATACCACTTGAAAATGAAAAAAGACTAAAACTATTGAGCAAGTGACATCGGAATTATGAAATCATGATAGTATGCACAATTCTAAATAAGCATTGTTCTATCTTAACATGAATGTAAAGTGCCGTGGCAAGTCATTGTAGATGAACATTAGCTTGCTTTTTTTTTTCTTTTTTTTTTTACACTAAAATCATGGATAAAAATACTGCTGAGACAAAGATGAAGTTAGCTGGGAATTTCCAAAAACGGTGTTGAAAGTATCCAAAAGATGTTTGCTGCTATTGGAAGTATTTTAAAATGTAAAGAAAACCACAAAAGTTAGGCACGAAAAAAGAAAAATTACAAGAGTCTTGATAGCCAATTCAAAATTAACAGCTAGAGGAGTGAATACATTGAGGTTTCCATTGATACAATACATAAAGTATTACAAAATAATTTGTACTGGTGTGTATTACGGCAAAAAGAAAAACATTCACCAAAAAATATAAAAATAGTCAAGTGGTCAAAAGAACATTTAATTTGGGATGCTGGAAAGTGGCAAAAAGTAATTTTTAGTGATGAATGCAGAATAGAGTTACATTCTAATGCAAAAGAATATGTATGAAAACCAGCGGGAGAAAAGAAAAAAAAAAACAATGCAAGATACACTACAAAGACAGTCAAATTTGGTACTGAACATGTAATGGTGGTGGTGGGGGGGGGCATCAAAAGTGGTGTTAAAAGAAAATTAGTAAAAGTTGATGGAAGGTAAACATTGTAAACTAAATTAGTTTACTATGGTCTAATCTGCCAGGCTATGAAAATGGTGAAATTTTTCAGCATGACAGTGCCCCTTGCCACAAATGAAACGAAAAGTTTTCTTGTGGATGAAGACGTTCAACTTTTGAGAAAAGTCACCAACAGAAAGTTCTGATATCTACAATTGAATTATTGTGGTAGAAACTGAAGAAACAAAAGTGCTCCAACAAAAGCTTTGGGATTACTGCCAAGAAGAATGGGGAAAAAATTCCAGATTAGAAAATCTGGCCCTTCTTCCATTCAATGCCATATTGAAGCAATTATTAGAGCCAAAGGCAGCAACACAAATTACTAACTTCATACTTTGATATTTTGTACTTTCTGTTATAATAAAGATCACTTTTTGCAAAAACAAAAAATTCTCTTTTAACATCACTATGCTTAAAATACACTATCATCCATCATACAGCATTAACAAAAATGTAGTAACTAGTTTTCTGGCCCTCAAAGATCATAAAATGTACTGAGAAAGGCATATTGTTGATCACTCATGATATTAGGATAACATTAAGAAAAATGATTCAGTTTACCAAGGTCATTCAAAGTTTTGCACACCTGTGTATACTTAGTCAGTAAAAGACAGTTGAACTTTCTGGGACACCTCATGAGTGAAGAGGGCTTAGAAAATTTGACACGGGACATATTGAAGGTAAAAGGGACAGGAAAGCAGCACAATACCTTGTATAAATTGTGATGACTTACCTCGGAACTCGAAACTTTTGCGAATGTGTCTTGCTTGCATGGTAAATCCGAAAAGAAATATGGCCGCTGTCAAAGACGCGATTTATATGCGCCGGTCTCATTCAAAATGAGATTGTACCAGTACACATGCAAATTTCAGCAGTGTCAGACTAGCATAAAAAGGCGAGGTGTCAGCGGCAAGTCATTCGGCCGACTTTGTGAAACAGTGTCAGACATGCGAATAGACTGGCAGACCACGCGGCGGTTGAAGTAGGCACGTTTGATTTGGATGTCCATTTCACGACTGCCCAGTGTAACGACCAAGAAAAGGAGTCTCGCAATTCATTTCTTTGAGGCGAACGACAGCGAAGAATAACAGCTGGTTTGTCGGCGAACACTCGTCACTTTTTTGTTTTTCTCTCTTCTTTTTCCTACAAGCTATTTCGGCAGATTATGGCGAAGGTTCGCATAAGCAGTGACATTATAAAACTGTTTTCCGGCCAGGGCGATGTGATGTCATGGCTGAAAAAGGTCAGGCTGGTGGCAAGACTTCAGCAGGTGGACGATGTGGCTAGTTTGCTACCATTATACCTGGAGGGGGATGCACTAGCCCTCTACATGGAAATGGAGGAGGAAGATCAAGGAGACATTGATCAGACTGAAGCAGGCATTCGCGGACGATGCGTTTTCAGCATATAGAAAACTGACCATGGTCAGGTGAACCGGCGAGCACGTAGACGTTTACGCAAATAAAGTCAGACAGTTTGTTTGATTGGCCGGATTCAAGGGGGCTGAGATGGAAAGGCTCACCAAACTAGCTTTCCTGATGCAATCTCCCTCGAACTCCAACAGGCACTGAATGTTGAAGCACTGACTGTAGGGGAGTTGTTAGCAAGAGCGAGAGTGCTGACAACCACCGGAGATGAAAGTCAGAACGTTGTTGTGGCGCGTCTCCCACCAAGAGCGGCCCACGCACCAGTGTGACATGCTACAGGTGTAGCGTTAAAGGCCACACAGCAAAAGACTGCCAGAAGCGCGGAACATGCTGCTATCAATGCGGGGAGTTTGGACACTGGGCCCGAGACTGTTCGGGAAATGCTACAGGGGACAAGGCATCAGCACCAGCCTTCTCCCCAACCAAGATGTAAATACAGCGCTTCCGGTGGCAAACGTACTTGTTGATGGAACTTTGTGCTCAGCGCTGATCAATACCGGCTGTTCGTGGACAATTGTGGATGCAGATCGGTGCCGGTCTTGGAAGAAAGTGAAGGTGGAGGTCATGACTATTGGAGGCGTGTCCCGTCCGTGTTGCGGTGTATGAGTGGTAACTGTATCCACGGAGGAAGGCGGTTCTGCTAAGATCGACGTGCTGGTGGTGTGTGGCAAACCACTCGGATTTGACCTGCTATTGGGAATTGATGCCATAACAGCATTGGGAGGCGTTACTGTTGGGCCTACGGGATGAGCACAGATTGGCAATGGGCGAGTAGCCAAATGCGCAGCCATTACTGTGAATGAACCCGACTTCACTGCCACCTTCGACCACTGGAGGCAATCCTAGACTGTGGCATGGAAGTGGTCGGAGAACTGCGCACCTGAAAGACTGCACAATGGGGTTTCCGAGTACCCGGTAGCAGCAGAAATAAGGGAGGACTACGAACAGGAGCTCCGCATCTGGATCAGCAGTGGCTGGCTCGTGCCGTACCCAGAAGAAAAACTGGGGCCTCCCAAGGGGCTAATTCCCCTGATGGCCATGCTACAGCAGAACAAGTCGAAGGTACGCCCGGTGATGGACTTCTGGGAGCTCAATCATCACGTTGACACTTTCACAGCCGATGCAGACATCTGTGCAGCTAAACTGCACGAATGGCGACAAAAGGGATCCAACGTGTCCTTGTTAGATCTCAAGAGAGCATACCTCCAAATACGTGTCCATGAGTCACTCTGGCCATACCAGACCGTGAAAATTGATGGGAGAAGATATTGTCTGACACGTTTAGGATTTGGATTAAATGTGCCTCCCCGCCCCTCATCATGAAGGCGATCATCAGTATGGTGCTGGCTCAGGAGGAAGCTGTGGGTTGCGCGGCATCTGCCTACATTGACGACATCTACATCAATGAAGATGTCGTTCCCGCGACCCACGTTAAAAAACATCTGGCCCAGTTTGGGCTGGAATGCAAGGACCCAGAACGATTGGAGGATGGTGCACGGGTACTGGGATTGGCAGTCGCGATGGAACAAGGAAGACTGCGGTGGAAAGGAGGAAGCGTGGTTCCTAACGCCCTGTCGTTATTCTGTGACGGAAGGTGTTCTCTCTGTGTGGTTGGCTCCGTGTGGCATGTGGAATGCTCAAGAGGAGAGCAAGTACAGTTACAAAGGGCTGGGACGATGAAACAAAAGATGCCCTTCTCCGGTGCATGGTGTCTGAGACCATGGATTCTGTGCAGCGGGACGATCCAGCTCGTGGGGAGTGGTGCGTGAATGCCCGGGAGCTGAATGTGTGGGTTGATGCAAGTTCCCTGGTGACCGGAGTAGCATTAGAGACGTGAGGCGCTGCTGGAGGATGCTTGCTGGTTGCGACCTAAAGATGACGCACAGCACATCAATCTGGCCGAGCTGGATGCTGTGTTGAATGGCGTCAGTCTAGCACTCCAGTGGCAGAGCAAGACACTACACCTAAAAACGGATCCCGTTTGCGTGTACCATTGGGTGTCGGATACTCTGACTGGGAGAGCGCGAGTGCACACCAAGGCGGCAAACGAAATGCTCATCAGGAGGCGGTTGAGCACTCTGAAAGAGCTTGTGGAAGAGTATCAGCTGACCGTGAATGTGGCACTGGTCCCTTCGGCTCTGAATATAACTGATGGACTGACAAGAGTACCGCAATGAAGACATGTAACGGACCCAGGCAAATGATTGGCGCCACCCATGTGGACAAACTAGGCGCAGATCAAATCATGTCCATCCACAGGAACAGTGGTCACCCAGGAGTGCAGCGTACTACCTACTTTGCCAGGAGAGTCTGCCCATCAATGGACGTGTGAGGAACGTCAGTCCATAGACCCTGCACCAACTCGCTGGAAAAAAAGGAAAGCTTGAAATAAGCGGAAACTGTCAGAGACTGGGGATGGATATCACCCACTATGGTGCCCATCATTTGCTAACACTGACGGACTGCAGCATGTCGCATTTTTCAATCTGGAAGCAGTTGGCAAGGCAAGACTCGGCAGCCATCATCTGCAATCTCAAAGAAGTGTTCCTCGAGCGGGGCCCACCCCATGAGCTACTCACGGACAACAACCCAGCTTTCTGCAGCAGAGAATTCGGAGCCTTTGCAGGCGAGTAGGAAATCAACTTTTGGTTCCGCTGTGCATACACCCCAGCTGGGAATGGTATAGTGGAGCGATGTCACCGCACAGTAAAATGAATCGCGGCCAGAATGCGCTGTTCCATACAGGAAGTCGTCTACTGGTACAACGTCACACCAAAAGACAATACATCACCCCAGACTGCGCCCGCCAACAGGATCCACTGATACGAACTGAGGGTGAAAGGGATTGACGCCCTAACGATGTCTTTAGACCATATGCACAGCCCCTACCAGGTCGGAGATCGCGTTTGGGTCAAGGTGCCAATAAGCCGGTGCACCACCAGGTTCAACAAGGGTCGGGTGACGAAAATGATCAGCCCACAGTCAGTTCTAGTGGACGGAATACCCCGCCACATTAAAGATCTATGCCCGCGCCACAGTTGCAGCACATCCGAGGAAGATTCCAATGACACATCTGAGAGCGGGGTGGAAAGTTTACTGCTCAACGAAGAAAGCGTGGAATGCGTCGATCCACCTGACGAGGGAATAGAAGCAGAGCCCCTCTCTGACAATCCACCCGAAGGGGGAGCGAGATCAGAGCCCCCCGCCCTGCCTTTACGAAGAAGCACCCGTTGAAAACGACCGCCGCCTTTGTGATAATGAGATCAGGGAGGGGTGTGATGACTTACCTCGGAGCTCGAAACGTATGCGAACGTGTCTTGTTTGCATGGTAAATCCGAAAAGAAATATGGCCGCTGTCGAAGACACAATTTAAATGCCTCGGTCTCGTCCAAAATGAGATTGTACCAGTACACATACAAATTTCAGCAGTGTTGGACTAGCATAAAAAGGCGAGGCGCCAGCAACACAGCAGACAGCGAGCCATTCGGCGGACTTCGTGAAACAGAGTCGGACGTGCGAATAGACTGGTAGACCAAGAGGCAGTTGAAGTAGGCACGTTTGATTTGGGTGTCAATTTAACGACTGCCCGGTGTAACGACCGAGAAAAGGAGTCTCGCAATTCATTTCTTTGAGGCGACCGACGGCAAAGAATAACAGCTGGTTTGCTGGCGAACCCTCTCGTCATTTTTTGTTTTCCTCTCTTCTTTTTCCTACATGAATGATTAGCAGAATAGGGATTAGGTGGAAAAGTAAAAAAGAAACTTTACTAAGAGCTGCAAAGTTGTGAAGAGTCATGATCACCCATGTCTTGAAGGAACACAGACAGAAGAAGAATTGGAATAATGGCCACTCAAAGGTTGTCAACATTACAGGTCTTGGTGGCTGAAATTGCTTATTTCCCACCAGCATTATTGATCAGTGTGTGATACAATAGCTCTGCACTTAATTAGGATGCTTGTTTAGTCAAGTGGATTGTAAATGATTTTATGTGGGTCCAGAGTAACTGTCAGTTTTATGACTACCAACAGCATTACCAGTAAAATTGAGTTTCAAAACAACCATCTACTGTCCAGAAGTAGGGAAAAATAAAATAAAAGGTATAAATAAAAACTTTTGGGATCAAGTGCCACTTGGCTCGAAGGTAAGGAATTCCAGTCACATTCTAAGTAATGGGAAGAGTCACAGAGCAAGAAGTGATATAAAGCTAGACAGAGATGAAGAAAGGAAGATCTAGTCTGTTAGTTTCATAACATGTTCTAAAAATACAGTAGTAGTAGCAAAGATGTCCCAAAAGTCACTTGTCTACCTCTAGACCAAGAGTCATAAAACGTTTTTGACCAGAGACCTCTCTTATGTTTCTCTTCCTTCCCCAGTGACCCCCATTTAAAAATCTTTGAACCTTAAAACTCACACTGTACTAATTAGATTAAACAAATATTACATCATACCAATCAAGCCAAATGACCTTCATAATCATGAACTCTATTTTACAGTTAGAGATGCAAAAGGCGATTATCTCCCTTTGGTTGAGATGAAGTCACTAGGGTCATATGACAGCCAGTGAATGACGTCAATTTATAGAGAGCCCACTATTCTGCCTTGAGGTAAGATGTGCAGGGGAAGCAAAATGTGTCAGCCCATGCCATGTAGGCTGCAAAGAAGACAGATGTGATAAGCCCACAGCGGTAGGGCATACAGAGAAAACCATATATTCTCACCAGGCACATAGAAGGCACCATTGGTCTGCCTGTTTTTCCATTGGGAAATATTACAAGTAAGATCCTCTTTCTTTTTGCTCCTTTCACTCTGCTTGTTGTATACATAGGTTATAATTTCTTTGTGTGGGACAAATTAGGGATAAGTATGTATATATTGGTATAAAAAAATCTCTTTAAGAACAATGCATGTTTGTCATTCCTTTCTTTCAGCTATTCTGTGTATTAAGGTGTTATTATCATGAATATAATAACGCATATAATGGGGAAATGGAAACTGGGAATATTGATTATTGTATAACAACCTCATTAACCCTATCATAAAAATGAAACACTTCAGATCAAGATAAAATCACATCTTCCACTTCTAAGTGGTTGTTCCAATCATAGTACCACAATAACATACTGTATATACTCATAGAGAGCCCCAAACTAAGGGTGTGACCTATCAAAGTGGGTATTTACGGTTGACCCGCAGATAGGTCGCATTATAATCTGGGGAGTTGCATGTCCCTTTTTTAACGTAAATATAACTAATATTTGTTAAATTATAATTTTGAAACACCAAACTCTCTTTCTGCAGATCCATTTCCATGTTCTTCTGCATAATCCACCATTTTCAACTTAAAACTGACTTCATAACTCTTTTAGTCATGATTAGGGTTTGCAATTATTTAAATTTGCAAACTACTGGTACCAAAAAAATTCAGGGTGAATTGAGTTTTTGTACACATCAGTAAATGACTGTAAATAAAATTGTGATTGGTTGTAACTGCATGATATTTACTTATTGAGTGTGGGGCTGCTCTGTTTAGATGAAAATTTGGATACCAGTAATAGCTTCAGTTCTAAAATCACTTAAAAATGATAGTCTTTAGTCATAAATCAGATAATAAATAGTGCAGATCGATCGCTTTTATTCAATGTGTGACATGAGACTGTTAGAAGAGACGATTGTATAAAATCGAAATGTTGGGAAAAATTCATTTTCTCCCTTGCTCTCACATATGCTTGAGCCAAGGGTACTTGCCTGGACAACTGATATGCTACAGTCTACTTCAGATTCTTTATTATACCAAGTGGATAGGTTGCACCTGATTTTTATTGAAATTTTGGTGAAAAAAAAATGTGTGACCTATTCTCAAGTATATACGGTAATCTTCTTAGCTTCCATTTTCTACCATTTAGCTTTTGGTTGCACAAGTAAATATGAAGCTAAAACAATGCAATATTTTCTGTTTTAAAGCTAACTGCAAAACCAAATCCCAGTCATTTAAAAATAGTCCTTTTTTTCTTACCTTTTTTTTTAAATATCAGTTTTTAATGTTGAATAAAATTTTAAAAATTACATGCAAAGCTTTTCTTTTAATTTGGTATCAAAAGAAGTGTTTGTTTTTGTCTACTGATTTTGATAAAGTCTAAATAAACAAAATAAGAAACCTGAAGAAGTACTGACCCTTTCGATAAAGGAGATGAAAGACTCATTTTCTGATTGTTGCGATAAGATAAAAACTTATTTTCCTTTGAAATGTTTGGATGTGCTGTGATCCACTCTTTCTTTTTCAATGCATTTTCACATAATGGACACAGAATTTCTTTGTTGGCTGAAAAAATAAAGTCCATCGTTGAAGAAAATAAAGATGACAAATTTAACAAACAAATGGGAAATGGCTTAAAGTCATTTGATTAGAATGAAAATAATGAGATGAGATAAATACTTTTAACCCATTAATACCATTATACATTATAAATACCCATTAATACCATTATACATTATAAATACCCATTAATACCACTGTCCCAAAAATGGAATGTTGAGCATTTTATGTTTTAATCTTTTATAGATAAAAACTTTTAATTAACACAAGTTTTTTGATTACTATAGTCAATTTTTGTAATTTTTATGATTTAATTTTATTTTCATTTTAAGTTTTATAATCAATACCAAATTTCACAATGAGCTTTAATAGTTTAAGGCTTTCAAACATTCATGAAATTAAAGAGTTCTTACTGGATATAATTCTAGAATGGTCACCATAATACTGACTATTGCTTAGCACTTCACAGACAAAAAACAAGTTTCACTCTTAAGCTCCACTTGCTTCAACATCTAAACTCTATTGTGTGTGTAACTTTTGCACAAGCCAGAATTTCACTTAAGCAGAGAATACCACATAAATGAAATTTCCAATCAGCACCACAGGTCTTAGTTCAAATCCAGGTAAATATTTCAAATATTCAAAAAAGCCATCCTACTTGGAAAATTGGTGCAATACAATCTTCCTTTGCCATTCAACCTATGGTCAGTAAATGTGAAACAACTAACTGAAGACCATTTCCTTTTGGAAGAATTAACTAAAATCTAATTTTATTCAATTTTGTTTGTTTTGTTCTCTCTCTCTCTTGCACACACACACATGCCCACACATTTATTAAAACCATCCAAGCAGAGAAACTCTATTCTCCTCAGTTCTTAATGGTTTTAATAAGATAAGTATTTTAGTAACAAGTTAGTCAAGATGCCTTGTGATTAGGGGAAGGTAACAAATAAATCTACAATTCAAAAACAAGGCTTTTTCCTCAAATATTTGAATATATGAGTGGCATATTAGTTACCAGTGTAAAAAAATGGAATTGGCAGGTTAAGTTTAAATTCCAGTCTAGGCTGCCATGTTCATACAAATGCCCTTTCGAAAGGAATGAAATCATTTTTTCCCCTGAAAAACTTGTACTTAGAAAAAACTGTTAATTGGAAAAAAATTCTCTTTTCTCTACTGTAAAGTAGTAAATAGTAGAGCAAATTTTAGCTTTGGTATGGCAGCTAGTCAGAATTCAAAACCAGCTTGGATATGCTTCATCAGGCTATCTTACCCTAAGTACACACATTACTTTTGTTGCTGAGTCATATGTCTCAGTAACCATACATTGTCTTGCAGCAGTGGTTTGTAAATTTTTCTTGTTCACAACACAATTTAGAAAATATAAAAATATTTTGATGTACTTTGTACATCAAGCTCTTGGGGCCAACTACAAAACTGTGGGCCTCTTACACTTCAGACCCTCAGCTCAAACTCTTCATATACTTGTTATCCACACTCTAATCTACCAACACCATAAGTGGAATAAAATGTTTCCTCCAGTTGGAGTTGACAGTTATGAATTTTCTTATGAATTTCAGATTATATTTCTCACATTTTGAAATATAATCTTGCTCTTTTGTGGTGCACATGATTGCATCTTAGTGCAAAACAGTGCATGTTTTGAGAAACACTGGGTTGTGGGATAAAAAAAATATTTGAATAGTACATATATTTACTGCAAGGTGTCAATTCAATTCAAAACTAAATTGTGAACAGATGAAAAAATCAGATTCAAATGAAATTGGAGTAGGTTTAGTATTAATTTGTTTGCAATGCAACAAGTTTTTTTTTTAACCTATTAATACCGGAAGGAATTGTAAAGGCAATGAAAGACTATAAACAATTGTTCCTAAAATTTGGATAATTCCATAGAAATGTATTTAATTTAGTTAATTTGCAGTGTAACACCCGTGCTAAGTTCGCATTAAAAATTTCCAGAATACTTACATTTATATGTAATTGTATATGCTCCATTCAAATCTAGCTTGATAAATTTGATAAAATCTACCGTTTTGGAGTTATTAAGAGTGAAAATTCATATTCATTCACATCACAGGCAGCCGTTATTGGCATTGTTTGTATACATTCGCTGCAGAATAGCTGTCAGTGTAGGTATAATTGTGAAAACTGAGGATGTCTATGTAAATAGTTCTCGTGTGCAGTAATTGAGAGAAATTTAGACAAGAAAAATCAGTTCTGCACTTAGCTTTCTGTAGTCTTCCGCATTTAGATTTCCGCAGGGAATGTATGCAATCAATGACAGTAATGGCTTCTGCTAATGATGCAAATGAATCTGAACTTTCACTGTCGATAACTCCAAAACAGTGGGTTTTATCAAATTTATCAAGCCAGATTTGAATGGCGCATGTACAATTACACATCAATATAAGTATTCTGGAAATTTTTTAATGTGGACTGAGTGCGGGTATTACACAGCAAATTAACCTTTAATTTTCCCTGTGAAATTCAACTTATATGATTACTGAATGCTTTGTACAGATTTGAAAAGCAATGCTATTTTATTTAAAATTAACAAAGAAAAAATAAATAAATGTTACAATTAAATTTTCACATGTTGTAAAAATGTGAAACACTTGAAGATGTAAAGAACAAATGTTTAAAATTTAATCATAACCATGACATTACTTTTGCTTTGATGAAAACTTGAATCCAATTCTTCCTCTTCCTTATTATGTTGTTAGTCTTTTTGCTTATAGCCTTATCACTGGCATGTCATAATGATAAGGAAACCACAATGTGAAAGAGTCTGTACAAATGCATTGCAAAATAACTCAAGAGATGTAGAAGGATGTGCAGGTAGCCTTTTGTTTAGTATTTATCAATCCACCCACGAGAATGTGGCACAAGGCCGGTTTAATGTGGGTATCCCTGAGCCCGTAGGCTCGGCCAAAAATATAGCCTTTTTGAAGCCGCCTTGACAGATTCAGGCTCTGTCTACCTCCCCGAACGAAACCTTGCCCTTCGGCAAAGCTTCGTCCGGGTTCCTCTCTGCTAATGCAGAGAGTTCGACAGACGCTGACTCAGAAGCTCACAAAGGCAGCGTACTACACTTTGATCATTGCCCCTGGGCCGAGAAGCTTTTTGTTTATTGGGATGAAAAGTGGAATCATCAATCAAAGTTCAAATTCTGGCATAGCTGCATTTACTTTCATACAAATGCCCTTGAGAAAGCCATGGATCCATCTTTTCTGCTTCAGCTATGGGTTAAATAGTTGGGTAGTCTAAGCCCTTATGCAAATTAATTGAAACAACCGCTTTCTTTCACCATACAGTTAATTTTAGACCCACTGGAGTGACAGTGTGTAATTATTTTTCTATTTTTCCCTGCAGTGGTGTGCAGTAATATGAATCTATTTTCAGAGTGCATGATGAAATTTGTTTGGCCTTGAAAAATATTGCATCATCTGTGATTGCATCAGATTTTTATCATGCCCAGACACTATTGTCTTGACTATCAATTAGTTGTCCTACAGCCATTGTTTCTGGTGGACGTTACTCCAAGGAAGCATATGAAAATTGTAATGTTGCACAAACACACTGGCAAGCCTTACCAGTGAGCAAATAAAAGTACTATAGATTGGCCTTGAAACACTCCTGATTTAAATCCAATTGAGAATCTGTGGTCAAGCTGCAAGGAGTGACTTTGTGGAATGGACATACGAAGTACTAACATGTGCACTGGATCATGTTTTATTGGAAAAATACAAAAAAAAAAGTAAATAATAACAGAATTATTTGTTTTGTTTCAATTAATTTGCACAAGAGTGTAGATTTCTAGAGAAAGCAAACACTGAATTTTAAACTGTAGAGAAGGCAATGAAATCAACTCCACTATCTTTTCCAAAAATGCATAGTAGTTCACAAATAATATAGAAAAGGAATCAATGGAGAATCATGATCATCTATGTCTTGAAGAGACAGGGTATTAAAAAAACAAAGACATAAATAAATGTAGAACTCAAAATACTCCAAGACAAGAACAAATATTCTTGGAAGCAAGTGTCGGGGAATTGCAATCATTATCACAAAAATAACATAAAACCTTTTGAGCTATTAATATAAAATTGTCTGTCATTTCTTTTTGTTTTTCATTTAATTTTACATCATAAAATTTTTTTTGGGGGGGGGCAACATTTGACATTCATACACACAAAAACAAATGTTGTTTCAAAAGGATCATTTTTCTCTTGACACCACAATTACTATAATCTCTTGGCAATTTTCCTTCTTTGTAAAAGCTATTTTTAGAATTTTAATATAAGTCAAACATATGAAACAAGATGTATGCATGTTCTTTTTTTTTTTGAGAATTAACAACAAAATAATTAAACACTATTTTATTAGATTGTTTATTTAGAGGAATAGTTTTATATTCATAAATTTATAAAAATGTGTGAACCAACTACAATGCAATATTTATTATTTACCATATTATAAAGAAATAACTATGGAAATAATTATTTTTTATTCATAAATTTATAAAAATGTCTGTGAACAAAAGAACAAAAAATATAAATAAACACACCACCACGAGTAAATGTAATTATAAATTTTTAAAAAATGCCTTTTCATTTGCTCTTGCTGCATAAATTTACTAAAATAATTCATGAGCATCTGAATTTATACTTTTTTCTCGAGAATTGTCAAGAAAAATGTTAAGCAATAGTATTTAATGCTTTCATTGTCAATTCTTGATTGACTTGGTTTGGTTTGTTTTATGGCATAACAACCTCAATGGGTTATATAATGCCGACAAGATTTTTATTGCTGGTAATATTTTTTTTCAAAATGTATTTCTGGTAATGTTTTTTTCAGAAAAAGTAATGCTGGCAATAATTTTTTTCTTCAAAAATTTATTGCTGGTAATAAAACCTATTTTTACATGTTCTGACCCCAGTTTGAGGGTTAACTATTTGTCCATAGCTGGGACCTGGGAACACCAGCAATTAAGAGGTGATTCCACACTTCTCAAAACCTCCTGATCAGAGGCCTTACTGTTGGATGTAGTTTATTGTCTTACCTGGGAGTTTATATCAATTCTTGGGAAAAAAGAGAATGCACAAGTCCAGTTTCTTATGTTTGGATTTTATTAAAATTCTAAAAATAACTTTTGAAAACAATAAACATTACCGGGATACTATAAAGTAACAGTGGTCTCAAGGAAAAAACCTATCATTTGATGCACCATTTTTTTGGTGTATGAATGTCTAATTTTGCCGATTTTTTGTCAAACAGGTTTGTGGTAGACAAATTAGGGATAAATGTAAATCAGTTATCGACTAAGAAATTAAAAAATGGACTGACCTGCTTTCTGTAGAAGTAGAACATGCCCAGCTCGTTTTGCTGTGCCCATTGGGTTATCATTTGTCAGATTAATTAGTTTGGGGTTGCCTCCATGATTCAGAAAGCAACTGTAACATTCTGGCTTGCCTTTCAAAGCTGCTTGGTGGCCAACTGTATTGCCTAGGTCTGGAAATGAAGTTACAACAAACATGAAATAATTCTGTACAGCATTTGTTTTAAAAAAAAAAAAATGCAATAAAGGTATATAGATATAATCATTATCTGTGTGTTGGGTGGGGGAATTTTAATAGTAAAGGAAAAAACTTAAAAGCAGCAAAACGAAGGCTGAAGAAAGCTAATCAGGTTAGTTGTTTTTTGTAAACAGTCACCTATGATTAATCAAAAAACTAATTCATTGAACAAAAGCCTGAGAGAGCAACACTAAAAACAGAAACAAAAGATTTGGTTTCTATCAAAATCCATAATCTTGTTAATTAAACAAGCTGGGAGTGGACGAATGACAGTATAAAATTTCAGAGCATTTGGAAGCATTGCTCCAATCAGTCTTGACCCAAATATTTCAGTCTGGGATGAGTGTGGGCTAAGAGTTCTTATTTCTAATTTTAATTAAGCTGACAGGAAGGAGGAGTTCAAACTCTATAAAAGAGGGACTGTTTTGCCAGCTAACAGCAGTTCAAACCAGGTCATCTGACAACACTCTTTGCTTTCCATATTTTTTCTAAAGTCTAGTAACAATTGTCCTCTCAAAGTTGAAGCACAGAAATAAATCAGAATGATTTCTTCAGTTGTTATTCATCATCTGTGATTTTCTGACAATGGGGTTACTTTTTGAACATGCCATTTTCTTTTTTGCATCCAGCCATAACAATCACCTAAAAAGTGGCATCTACAACTCAATCAGATGCTGGTCTAAAGTACAATGCTACAAATCTTTGTTGGTGTAAAGTACAAGTAAAAGAAATTTCTTTCTTCAGATTTTAAAGAGAAAAGCCTCTTTTCATTTTTTTCCCCAATACTGAGTATATTTTGTGTCATTGCTTTATTAATTCATAATGACAATGTTCACACAATGATGGTCTGTCTATATTTCTGAGATTAGGTATTATGTACACTATTTACATTATTCGGACTATTGTCCTCATCTTTGTCGCCATATTTATTACAATGTTTTGGCCATTGTACGCTCCAGCCTTCTTCAGGTGGTTAGAATGTCAAACTGAACCCTTTATTTTACTCACTGGGGTAGACTGTTCTAGTTCCACGTGTCATGTTTAATGGATGTCAGTTATAAGTTATCTCCTGTTAATTCCCCTCTGAAAATTCTCCACTGCCTCACATTGAAAATTCTCCAAGCTCGCATTGAACTCACACTCTTTGGGTCCTGTTACTGGATCTAACCAACACCTTTATCCACTGTGCCATGTATCCTTGAAGACATCTGTGTATGAATTTCTGGGCATTATAAACCTAATGTCTTCAGCAACCATTTCTTTACCAGTGCTCGTATTGCAATTTTTGCTGTTATCAAATCATGTTTTTACCAGAGCTCATATTGCAATTTTTTGTTGTCATTATCGCTTTTCTCTGGTATTCCATATTATTGGTTCCCATATTGTATTCATTTCATTCATTTATTCATTTCTATGCTTGGAATAATGTAAATAATGAACAATGTTCATCTAATACAAGGCCCAAGAACCACTCAAGGTAGAGGGATACAGTGTGGTGTTGTATGAGTGCAAGAAAGGGTTAGAAGTAAAGTTCATGAGGCTATGCAAGGGAGATAACAGTTAACCCTAGACTTGCAGAGGTCGAAATTCTAATGATTGGGAAAACAACCTGCTGGGAGCCTTCCACAAAGCGGCAGTTCTTGGAAAGAAACTGTCCAAGGGAAACTTCCTATGGTAAGAAGTTTTTCTTGGACAGGGAATGGGGACGGTTCACTCTTGTGTACATGGCATGGTGGGTCTCAGTTGTAAAGGTCTGGGGTGGTGGAACTAAGGAATGTAGTTCATCGGAACACATGCCATAGAAGTAATGATAGAGCAGTGAGAGGCTCACAAAATTTCGTCTGTAGTAAAGGGTTTGTAGGGTGGAAAATAATTCATAGGAGTCTAGGCAAAAATAAGAAACAAAAACATGGAATTTAAACAAAGTGTATATAGATATATTAAGCAGACATGTTATAAAAAAGGAAGAAGAGAAATGAAGTTGTGAAGAGTTCAAAGCAACTTTCATTATGTGTCCTTAAGGTACTTACATGCTGACATAATGAGAAGAGATGTCTCACAACCAAAAGCCAAAAAGGAAAGAGGAAGAAGCTTTCAAATCTTGTGATTATTGTCAGGGGGGGCTATAATCTAACACCACACAGATATAGTCAACAGATCAGTAATGTGAAAAACAGATGAGCAAGTCATTCATCAATGACTCGTATCTTCTTCTATGTGCTATGCTCCTTCAGGATGTTGGTGGTCAGAGCTCTCCATAATTTCCTCTCCTTTGTCGCTCTTCAAGCTTGCCAGGTAGGCTATGCATTGTTTTCCTCTGTCTGTTTTGCCTTCAATACGTTCTGTGAGTATCAAATATTCCAAACCCTCTCTCCTCATTATGTGCCCTAGAAATTTCAACTATCTCTTCCTGATGTTAAGTATAAGTTTCCTTTTTGTTTTCTTTGTCTCTAAAACTTTGACATTGTTCACATATTCAGTCCATGGTAATCTCAGCATCCTTCTGTAGGACCACATTTGTGTTGCTTCAAGTCTCTTCTTCATCTGTGGGGAGAGTGTCTAGCATTAACTGCCATATAGAAGGACTGGTTTGGTTTGGTTTAGTTTATTTTGTTTTACAGCATTTCAACCTCAATTGGTTATTTAATGCCGACAACATTTTTAGGATAGATTCGTATGAATAGAATATGTATTTTTTGGTTTAGATTGGTTTGGTTTATTTTGTTTTATGACATATCAACTTCAATGGGTTAATTAATGCCAACAATATTTTTTATTACTGGTAATATTTTGTTTTGTCAAAAATCTGTTTCTGGTAATATTTTTCCTTCAAAATTGTATTGCTGGTAATAATTTTTTTCAAAAAAGTATTGCTGGTAATAGTTAACTATTTGCCCATAGCTAGGACCCTAACAGGTGCTACCATCCTGGGTTAGGGTGGACCTGGGAACACCAGCAATTAAGAAGTGGTTCCACACTCCTCAAAACCTCCTGATCAGAGGCCTTGATGCGGGATGTAGTTTATCGTCTTACCCAGGACGAATAGAAGGACTGATATTACATAATGGTTCAGTACTCTTTTCTATAGCACAATTACTTATTTAGTACATCATTATTTCATCCTGGGTAAGATGATAAACTACATCCACATCCTGGGTAAGACAATAAACTATGTCCAACAGCAAGGCCTCTGATAATACATTTTTGAAAAAATAATGTTGCTCGCTGTACGTTTTTGAAAAAATATTACCAGCTGTACATTTTTTTTTGAAAGAATAGTGTTGCTGGCTATATGTTTTTGAAAAAATAATATTGCCAGCTATACGTTTTTGAAAAAAAAGAAATAATATTACCAACTATACATTTTTGAAAAAATAATATTGCCAGCTATACGTTTTTGAAAAAATAATATTGCTGGCTATATGTTTTTGAAAAAATAATATTAGCGGCTATACATTTTTGAGGAAAAAATATTAACAGAAATAGATTTTTGACAAAACAAAAATATTACCAGGAAAAAAAAAAAAAGTTGTCAGCATTAAATGACCCACTGAGGTTGATATGCCGTAAAACAAACCAAACCAAACATCATTATTACTATTTAATGTCATTTACAAATAAATTCATTCTACTGTAATCTCAATAAAACAAAATAATGATACATCTAGATTCTGCAAATAGTACCATTCATTTAATAGTTACAATAGCAGTCAATGACAGGCATGCCAGGAATATGGCCTTATGTGTGAGTCCAAGAAGTATCTATATTCTGCAAGGAAAAAAAAAAACAAGTACAATCCCACCTTCAATTATACATTTATTTTCCTTGACCTTATAGATAGCCTCCCTTCCAGACCCCGTTTTTCTTGGTTTGAACATGCATTGGCTGAGATGTCAATACATTCTCAAGCTGTTATATTAAGCGTATGGTGGCAGAACAAGGAAGAAACAAGAGAGGTTTAAGGAATAAATGACTGTATTAATAAAAAAATACAACAATGGTGAAATGGTGTGAATGTCTCTCATTGAAAGAGAGACATAAGTCGTAAAGTCTTTCACAGAAGCATATGGTAGAAGGTAGGGTGAGTTGGGACTTACTGCAGTGACAACCTTTGGCAAGTTGTCTTTGGAGATGGGAGGGCAGATGTGGAGGTCGCGTTCCGATGAGTGTGCGAACACTGGCTGTTGTGCCGACCGACTGTCCAAGATGTCCCTTTGATGGACTTTTATGTCCTTTTCATAGACTCAGATCAGCTCCAATTCCTATTTCAATTCTTTAGGTAGGAGGGGTGCTGTTAGGTAAAACATTGGATTGTATGTTTTTTTGTGGGGGTGTAAGGAAAGCAGAAGGTGTGTGCAGAGCCAATGTGCACTTGACAGAATTTTTAGTTCAGTCTTGGGTTTCGGAACATTCACATCCAGCCAGTGGTGGAAATTGTGTGAAACAAATCAGAAGAAGATCTAGTTTAAGAAGATTATAACAAAGCCAAGAAAGGAAATGATTTATACAATTTTTTTTTAAAGTGTAAAATGTCCTTTGCATTTGATTATTAAGTGATGTCTATTTTTTTGTCAAAAGGACATAAATATTTACTTTTTGTGAGGTTTTGTATTTGCTTGTTAATATTAGCATTAAACATACAATTCAGCAGAAATATATGATATATCAATAATGATTTTTACTAATATCAACATATACCTTAAATAACTTTAGTTTAATATCTGATTCTTAGTAAAGAGTCACTTAATCCAATAGGCAAAGATTCCAACTCACCATCTTGGGTATTTGGATTAAATCCACGTTCCAGTAACCAATGTAAGACATTCACAGATCCATAAAATCCTGCCTGAGAAGAAAATAATTTTGGAAAAAAAAAACACATTTGTCTCAACATTCAGTTGAAAAAGTGAGTGTCCAATCTCAAAAGTTATGCAACATATATTTGATAAAAGAAAATAACTATTTTTTAAAATTAAATTTTCTCAACGCAAATTAAGTTCAAAATATACATTAACTAATTTAAATATGTATTATTCCATTTTTTTGTGTGTGTGCGTGTCCAGGCAACATGTAAGCAATGAGCAATTGCCTCCAAAGATTATCACCACAAAAAATTAAATAAAAGCAAAAAACTCTTGTTATTACCACATGAAGTAGAGTTTTGTTGTCCTTCTGTGAACAAGTTACACTTGTGCCTTGTTCCATTAAATAACGCAAACACTCAAGTCGATTGTAGCGAGCAGCATAGTAGGCTGCCCAAAATCCCAAATTGTCTAAGTAATTCACTTCACAGCCATGTTGAACCAAATACTTCAGGCACCGAAGACCTGAAAGAATGGAAGCATAAAAAAATGTGACATATACACACTTCCAGAAATACCTCCCACATAATGGCAAGATATTAACTAGATGAAGACGCCATTGCCACTAATGTCTTACCATTACGTGGAAGAATACACATATCTAAAAAAAAATTAAAGATTTAAGATCAAACCAACACCAACAACTCTCATATATATATATATATATATATATATATATATATAATACATGAAAGGTTAATGGTCAGATTTGAATCAGACCAGGAAACAGTGGTATTAAAAATACATGTGTAAAAAAATAAAATAAGAGTAAAAATATCATATCAGGTGACATCTGATTAAATCCGAGATATTTTTATTTTTAATTTATCTTCAGTATCTGTCTATATGTAATAAATATGGTGACAAAGATGAGGACAATAGTCTGAATAATGTAAATAGTGCACATAATACCTCATCTCAGAAATATAGATGTAATAAATATGGTGACAAAGATGAGGACAATAGTCTGAATAATGTAGTGTTTAATTTATCGTGTTTAAATGTTCTTTTTTATGGATACTCATATTTGAGTAAAAGCTCTGTTTTTTAATTAAACAGTATTTTTTATCCAACTACATCTACCAGCCTGAATATTCGAGAAATCTTGTCAGAAAAATATGCGTCTTCCTCTAAGATAACAAACAGACAGACACTTTCAGGTTGTCAGATCTGATAAGGTAATTTATTGCCCCACTTATCCTCAAAAAATCCAAACACATTTTCCCCACATACAGTTTGGTCTTTCATTCTGACCTGAAGAAACCGAAAGCAACAGACATTCACTGAAACACATTGTTTATAGTTTTTCTACTTTGTGTGTGTGTATGTGTGTGTGTTGAACCAAATAATTTAAATACCAAAGCCCTTTCATATATATATGTATGTATAGATATATATATATATTTCTGTGTGTGTGTGTGCAAATATACAGAAAAATAGGAAAGAACAAGTTAGGTAAATAATCCAGGGTTCTTTAGTATTTTTGTTTTTATTTTTAAAAAAATAGTGCTCCATACAAAAGTAGAGCTTAAATTATAATTATTTTTTTTTATAATTATTTTTATTTTTTTATTTATATATATATATATATAGTACAGGTAATAAATCTGTTGGTATATAATCCATGTGGATCCTAATAATATAAAATGTTAAAACTGATCCACAAAGAGAGCTCAATATATTTATTATAACAGAGAAAATTAAAATTACCTCATGAGTATAGACTACTTCAACTAGCGTCAATGTGCTAACATTTTTCAACTCAAATGGTGGACTGATAAAGTATTAGAAACTTAAAATTAAATATTTAAAAAAAGGGAGACAGCTGTTGAAAGTATGAATTTGAGCTAACCAAACAAAATGCCCAAGTGGTGGCAAGGTGAAGTGGATGTTGGCTGGCTTAAATGGAAAAGAGTTACACAAATTTTTTTTTTTTTGTTTTTTGCTTTGAGAAAGTCCACATTGGCCGAAACGCGTCAGCAACTACTCCAGTTTTCCTATTGTCATTTATATTTAAAAAAAAAAATATATATATATATGAGGTATGCATAATAGAGGATCCAAATTAGGAACCAATGCTCTCAAAAGAAGCAAGTGGAGATTTAACATCCGGGAAGAGGTAAAGATTTTTCAACAATCTGCAATTTCAAGGACAAAAACAATCAGGAGGCCAAAAATGGAACAAACTGTTAATGAAAATATCACACAATTTGCAGGTTTGTAATGCAAATGCAACTATCTATCCCAAGTAGGCCTTGTTAGTGACATGAAATGTCACACAGCGAGACCCAGTTGTAATTATTAAGCTTTCAGGTTAACAATGATCTTACCTGCACAGACTGGTAAGTCATGCTCCAGTCCATCTGAACTGATCAGACACCTGAAAATCCTTAACCAGTGAACCTAGGAGACAGAAACTACTCAACCATGACTTGATGCATATCACTGATGATCATAATCATTAAATTAGTTGACAGTCATCACACACACATACATATATATATATATATATATATATATATATATATGATAGGATAGGATAAAGAACAAATATATATAAAATGTTTATCAATCTAACATGTTTCACTTTTATCTATATATATATATAAAGTTGTAACCTCTGTCAGTTTGTTATTGAACTCTACCTAGGGTTTTGGAGATAGACCCGCATAACCATATATATTCTGAAACTACATTACCCAGGGTACTTGAATAAGTATATTTCATTTTAATCCAAGGTGCCCCCACCACCACACACACATGCCCCGAAAAATTTTTTCCCTTTAATTTAGATTAAATTTAAATTTGAACAAGGGAAGGACGCCTATCCAAAATATAGAAGGAGAAAGCCGGAAGATGGTTTGTTATAGTGGAACACACCTATTCTATTGTTAATAGACTCTCCCACCTATAATAAGTAGTAGTAGTAGCAGTTGCTAAGGGCTTAGTCAGTCAGTCGATGTCGGATGATCGTTAGTCAGATATTAAAGTATCAGCCACCACAACTAGATTGCTGTGTCATTACCTATTATATCAAGTTCCTAACATTTTGTACGTCAAACCTATTTTAGGACCGACTTAGTGAAATACAAGCCTCCACTGTGAAACTACTCTACAAAAAGGTTACAGCAAAAAAAAAATCATTGAGTAATATTGAAATGAATCATTTTTCTATACAAATTATAACAATGATTTAAAATCAATCATCATTTTCTTACAAAAAATGTGCGACAGATAACAAGGCATGGGTAATTCAGCTAGTAATGAAGAATAAAAGTGAAATGTGTTAGACTGATAAACGTTTCTTATTCATTCTTTATCTTATCATTCGATCAGATTCCAATCAATCTTACTTATTATAAAACGCAGATTGTGTGTGTGTGTGTGTGTGTACGTTTATATATTGGATCGGATTTCCTACATTTTTCAATCGATTTCAACAAAACTTCACAGGACTACATAAAATTACCTTGCGGTGGTTCTGACAGCACCAAAAATTGGAAAAACTCTATTGTTTTTGCACGAAATCAATTTGAAAACACGATTAAGAGGTATTAATGAAAGGGGGACAATTCATATCGAGTTATACTTATTAATATCGAGTTATTGAGTTATACTTATTATAAAACCCAGGTTGGTTGTGTGTGTGTGTGTATGTGTTTGTTTATATATGGGATCGGATTTCCTACATTTTTCAACTGATTTCAACAAAACTTCACTTTTTTTTTGGCAGGTAGTGTTTCTTATTGTCTTGCACACTTTTTTCTTAATTTTACATTCAGAATGCTTTAAAAATTCCATTTACAAGACAATTGTTTATAATAAAATTCTATTCAATCGGTAGACTCATAACGATTGAAAACAATGTTTTTGTTTGCGTTTGGGTTTGACCAACTCGTAAAAAAAAAAAAAATAAAAATAAAACTAATTAAGACATGCGTGTCCGTCAACCTTAAACAATAATCTTTGTCAATTTTATTTTTCAGTCTTTATGATGGTCGATACTTGATCTATCTCTTACTGTTACATCCCCGGGCAACGCCGGGCTCTACTGCTAGTATTTGATGTGTATTTAGGCAGCAATCCTTCTTTCATGCACATTTCATTGAATACGACAGACAAGGTGCTTTGATTTACTTTTTTGTACAATTTCTCATGTGATCTAATAAATTTTTCTTTTCAGATGATAAATTATATAAAAACTGTCTGAATGTTCTTTTAATCCAAGCGCTTTTGGCTATACATTTAGCCATTTTCCAGGATGAAATATTTTAACTGTTAAATAAGAAATAGTTTGTTGCATGTATGCATTTATATAATGGAAGCCTTATTAATAAAAGCAAAAAAAAAAACACTTAATAATATCAACTACAAACATGGACACAATATCTTGACCATGTTTTGAAAAATGAAAACATTATATATATTCCACCACACACATATAATCAAACACAAATAAATCATAAATAGATCCACTTTTGAAAAAATAAACCAGTTTATCTCAAGAGCATGATAGCATGAAACCTAAGGTCACAAACAGCTCTCCATGCAACTGCACATGTTAGCTCTGTCATGGATATTGAGCACTTTCCACTAATACCATACATATAAATATACATACACACACACATATATATTTTTCCAGGGTATGACGATAAACTACATCTTGCAGCAAGTCTTCTGGAGGATTTGAGGAGCATGGAACCGCCTTTTAATTGCTGTTGTTTCCAGGTCTGCCCAGACCAAGGGTGGTAGCACCTGTTAGGGTTCCAGCTATTGGCAAATAGTGCCTACCAGGGCTATCCAGGCTCTTTAGTGTTATAGTACACGACTGGTCTAGGAGATGGAAAACTCTTACATGAAAAGCCTGAGGTCTATTGCCTTCTTCATCTGTGGCATTTATTTGTACTGACTGAGTGTATCAACAGTTCCAAAAAGTGTGGATGTTTCTGCACAAGCCCTCACCACTTTGATCAAATCACTTGTGTGGGTTTTCTGGCAATTTACCCTGATTCGTTCATTCTTATTGACACAGTTCACTTGCAAGGTCCATTAGTGAGAGAGTGAAGGTGAAGGATATTACTGGGAGGCTCTAGCTGGAGCTCTACACTGTGGCAGACCAATGGGTGATGGCTGTTCTTTCACAAACCCATGAGCAATTGTGTTGTTAGTGTCCTCCATTGGTGACAAATTACCCCTATTTGGAATCTGCACTGATTTTCCTATTGTGGGGAGGGGGTGATAAAAGGAGCCCTAAACATTGCTTGCTAACACTGAGACTTGTCAGCCCCCTCTGCAGCTGTCTGGTTATCCAGTAATGCAGTTGAAATAGCAAGAAAGATCAAAAGAAGTATAAGAAGAATTTCCATTTTGGATCCTGGAATGTTCACACTCTCCAGGACAATGATTCTGCACCAAAGCATAAAACAGCTCGTGTCTCTCGAGTTGAAGAAGTATAATATCGACATAGCGGCCATTAGTGAAACATGTCTGGCTGGCAATTCTCAACTTAGGGAAGAAAAAGGTGGATACGTGTTTTTATGGGCTGGCAAGACTGAGAAAGAGCCATGCCAATCTGGTGTTGGCTTCGCCATCAAGTCAGACCTTGCTAGCTCACTGCCTTCCTTACCTAAAAATGTATTAGATCGTATAATGACACTAACCCTCGATCTGAAGTGCAACACTCACGTGACACTGGTTAACTGCTACACTCCAACATTAGGTAGTTCAGAGCAAGAAAAGGATGATTTTTACAATCTCCTTTAGGATGTCATCTCCAAAGTCCAACATACGAATAAATTAATTCTTACAATGCTTGTGTTGGCAATGATTATCATTCTTGGAAGGGTGTTTTAAGTTGCCATGGTATTGGTTGTGTGAATTCAAATGAATTACGCTTTCTTACTATCTGCAAGGAATTTGACCATAGTATTACTAATACCTACTACCAGCAACCCAGCTGTCATAAGACAATGTGGATGCACCTTCGGTTGAAAGACTGGCATCTGATCAACTGCGTCATCACCAAAAGAAGGAACATGAAAGATTTTAAGATCACACGTTCATTTCACACAACTTGCTATCTGTCAGATCACACTCTACTTTGGAGTGAGTCTACACTGCATCTGCAAAAGGGAAGGGTTATAAATTCTACAGTGACCAAGCGCATTAACATACTGCCTCTTAAATCGACTGAAAACTGCGCTCTCTGACAAACTTAATGCTGCACTTGATTCTGTGAACATTACCAATGATATGGACTCATCTTGGAAGGCTCTGCGGGATGCAACATATTCTGCATTCTTGGAGGTTCTCAGATTACCACATTGAAAACACCAAGACTGGTTTGATGACAATAATACAGAGGTTCAGCAGCTTATAGATCAATTGCACTCTTCTCATAAAGAATGGATTGAGGATGAGAACTCATCCACTAAGAAGATCGCTTATAAGAAGTGCAAAAGTCAGGTCCAACAAGCTCCCAGGGCCATGAAAAAGTGTTGGTAGTCTGAAAAGTCCACTGAAGTCCAAGAAGCTTCAGATAGAAAGGATGTAAAAGCTTTCTATGTTGGCCTCAGTCCTCAGAAAAGTGGTGTTGGAGCAACACCACTTTTTGCGAGAAAAACCAGGAGTTGTACATGGTGTTTGTGGACTTGGCCAAGGCCTTTGACACTGTGAATCAAGAGGCTCTTTGGCAAGTCTTGAGGAAACTCGGCATCCCAGAAACATGCTAACGGTCATCATCTCATTTCATGAAAGAATGAAAGCTATTATCATGTCTGATGGTATGATGTCAGAATCCTTTGATGTCACAAATGGCACCAAGCAAGGTTGTGTCATGGCCCCTGTACTTTTTGCACTTTTCTCCTCGGTGATGCTGAAATATGCATTTGCAGACACAAAGAGCAGCACCAAGTTTCAGTTTTGAACATGTTATACCTGACGTACCTATTCTATTATTAATAAACTCTCCCACACATAAGTAGTAGTAGTAGTAGCAGCAGTCACCAGTTCGGCTCAGTGGTGTTGAGTGAGTCAGTCGATATCGGATATTGAAGTACCAACCATCACAACTAGATTGCTGCGTCATTAACTCTTATTTCCAAGTTCCTAACGTTTTGTATGTCGAACCTAATTTAGGACGACTTATTGAAATACAAGCCTCCACTGTGAAAACTACTCTACAACAGAACAACAGGTGGATTCTTCAATCACCAGTGCTTTAAAGCCAAGACCCACCTTTGTACACAAATGATCTGTGATTTGTTGTTTGCTGATGATGCTGCTCTTGTGACATCCTTTGAGGAGGCCCAACATCTACTAAATCGTTTCTCTGCTGCATGTAAAGCCTTTGGTCTTACACTTAGCATAAAAAAACTGAAGTAAGGCACCAACCTTGTCCTACTCCGAAACAATTCCATGGTGTGAAACAAAAACCACCAGCCTACAAATTTCCAGAGAGACCATTGAAAGTAGAAGACAAAGCCCTGAACTATGTAAAGTCTTTCACCTATCTTGGTAGAAAAGTCAACTACAGTGGATCTTTAGATGATGAAAACATACATCAGATGCTTTTGGCAAACTTTGCCATCACTTGTGAGATGAGCAGGGTATCCAATTCGAAATGAAAATTTGGGTTTACAGAGCTGTTGTCGTTGCCATCCGTTTGTACGGCTCAGAGTCATACAGGTACCATATATACTAGCCATATATTTTCTGCATGCCATCTGTGGAGTTAGCCTTCAAGGCAGGACATCAAATGTGGAGGAATTGAGACTTTACTCATACAGTCTCAGTTGCGGTGGACTGGTCATGTCTTGAGAATGTCTGATGACAGGATACCCAAAATCCTAATGTACAGCCAGTTAGAGCAGCAAGAATGTAGGACACCCATGGCTTAGATACAAAGAGTGGAGATCAACATGTTTTAGTGGTTTTCAATCTGCTAGTCTGAATTGTATTCAAGAAGTGAGAGCAAAATCTAAAAGGCTAACCAATCTAACAGCGACCTCATCCCACAATCCTCACTCTTGCTCCATATGAAGCCTCTTTTGTAAATCACTTGCGGATCTTAAGTGTCACTTAAGATTATTGCACAAAATTCAAAACTGAATCAATTTGTTGTCAGATCCTCATACGTTAAAACCAACAGGAGAGTCCATTGTTGGTTGTCTGAAAACATATGTCACTCCCAATATATATATATATATATATATATATATATATATATATATATATATATATATATATATAATTTAATACAATTTATACATATATTATACATATATTTATTCAATATAAACATATATAAATGCAAATAATTGCTACTATAATTAAAACCAAATGAGTTTCAATGATTGTCAAATAATTTAAATTCAAAAATAGCAATATCAAATTGATAATACAAAAGTGAAAAAAATTATTTATTTTTTATAAAGAAGGAATAAAGAAATGAATTCAACTTACTGCCATATTGAGTCGCATAGTGAAGTGGAGTTTTGCCAAGGTTACATCTAACATAGAAACTGATGCCATAACCATTGCACAAAAGATGGAGGATTTGGAAATGACTTCTCATGGCTGCCAAGTGAATGGTAAGTCGGCCATGTTTATCACCCAATATTAGATTGGCCCCTGAAATACAAATGAGCAAACAAAGCGAATAATTGTGACATCATATATTTGTATTTACGTGTGAATATATATTTGTACATGGTGTGATGGATAAATTGTTGTAATTTTATATTTTTAATTTTGCGCATGCATGTTTGTTTTTGATTTTGTCAACTGCACAGTATAGTAGGGTCAGTTGGGCATCATTTGTGTGAAAAAAAAACACCATGATGCAATTCACTGCACCAGAAATTTGGAAACGGCATGCTTTACTGCTTGGCATTTGTGCCGGAATCTTCAGTACGAACATTTCAGAGTGTTTGGGTGACAATCTGAGGACAGTGCAAAGGATCTGGAAAGAGTTGGATGAGTCTAATGGTGATTACAAAGGTACAGCAGCTTGGAAAACTCACTCTGATTGTTCTGATAAGAAAAGATCTCCTGAATTTGTTGGTAAGGGTCTCAGACTCAACATGGAGGCCTACATCAAGTGCCTTGAGGAGGTAGTGCTGCCCTGGGTCAAGAGTGTGACTGCTGGACAACCCTGTGCCTGGCAAAAGACTCTGCACCATGCCACACAAGCAGAAGAACCCAATCATAGCTGTCAGACAATTTCTGTGACCACATCACCCCTTACATCTGGCTACCTTACTCCCCAGACTGCACCCTCCTTGTTTATAATGTGTGGGGCACAGTTGAATAAGAGACCAACAAAACTCCTTGTAGCATCAAAGATGAACTGAAGGCAAGGATTATGGTAGAATTCACAAAATTAAACAAGAAGGCCATCCAGAAGACTTGCAGGAGATTCTGAAGTCATCTCAGATTAGCTTATTTGCATTGGTGTGCAGTAATATGAATCTATTTTCAGGGTGTATGATGAAAATTTGTTTGGCTTTGAAAAATATTGTATCATCTGTGATTGCATCAGATTTTCATCACACCCAAATACTAATGTCTCAAATGTTGATTAGTTGTCCTACAGCCATTGTTACTCCAAGGAAGTGTACAAAAATTGTAACACTGCATGAAAACAATGGCAAGCCTTACCAGTGAGCAAATCAAATTACTATCAACTGGCTCGGAAACTCTCCTGATTTAAATTCAATCAAGAATCTGTGGTCAATCTGCAAGGAACGACTTCGTAGAATGGGCATATGAAGTATTAACATGTGCACTGGGTCATGTTTTATTGGAAAAATACGAAAAAAATAGTAAATAATAATGGAATTATTCGTTTTCTTTCAATTAATTTGCACAAGGGTGTGTATATGGTAAGTGATGCCAATAAACAAAAGAAAAATATGCTTATGTAATAAATATATAGAGAGATAATATTTTTTATTTCCCTGTTTATGAGTTTATTTAAAAAGTGAGATATAGGGTACAAACAAAACCATTTGAGCAAAAAAAAAAAAGTCCTTTTAGGCCTGGAAGAAATCAAACTTACTTATTTGAAATATCATGAAAAAAATCAAGAGAAACTTGTTCTCTACTTCAAATTAGATCTCTTTCTGATTCACTCCACATCAAAATCTGTTGGTCAGATATAAATGCTATAAAAGCAAAATAAAAAATGTCACTCACTGTGCAGAGGCTTCAAACATTGCATCTGGCTCACAAAACAAATACCCGCAAAATATAAAATACAATTTAAACTCCGGAGCCCATCATGAACATTGCTACTAAAGTAAAAGCATGATAAAAAATGCTGTGTCATGAATCCATCCTGACTGCATAAAAGGACCTGCTCACAACACACAAGGCAGTAGACAGGCCGTCACAGACCTCACCAATGACTCTGGATTAACCAATCAGACACAAGGTTTTTGACAAAAATTGCAACTAACCTTTGGTAGCAAGAATCCTGAGACATTCCTCTTCTCCATTGAAGGCAGCTATATGTGCTGCAGTCAACCCCTCAGAGTCTTGTGCATCGACATCACACTGTAATTCTAAAAGACGCTCAAGGCAACTAATGTGCCCTCCCATACATACCTCATGCAAAGCCGTTCGGCCACAATATGATTTTACACATGGATCTGCTCCTTCCTAAGATATAAAAGGAAAATATTTTAGTTAGATACTTCAGGATTTTATTTTTAGTAAAAACGCTTTCTGTTCATAGCTTAACACAGTCTTGAGCTATACAGCAAAAAATTTACTTTGACAAAATCTGTTCAAAATTCTTTAAGCATTGGCAGTTTTTAAATAGTTTTTATGATAAAATAAAATTGCTTCAAGTCAGAATCATAACAAACACAAAAGATTATAATAACTGAATTTTAGGATGAGGAGTTATAATTATTTACAGTCAGACTAATGTCCTGATCTTTGTTGTTATTATCACAAAGTTTTGACCATTGTACCCTCTGACTTTCATAGGGTGCTTGTTGATCTCAGTAACCTTCAAAGAATTTTGAACTGAACCCTTTATTTAATCAATGGGAGGAGAGTGTTCTTGTTTTGCTGTCCATTTCTAGGGATATCTCATCCATGCTGTTCTTTGGAGTGCTGCTCAGTTATTACTAGTCCTGTTCCCACTGAGTGTGAAGCTGTACTACCTGACCCAAGGAATAAACTCACAATTAATATACCGATCTGAAAGACTATTGTAATGATAAAGTAACAGTTCTGCTATGTATATATAATTATCTGTGTCAATGTGTGTGTATGTAAGGGCATATTGCCAATATAGGTTAAAATATTTGACAGAAAACAGACAAAAAAAAACTAAATACAAGAATGTAACTCGACTAAAATTGCTGGGTCATTTTTTACCCATGACTGTGTACAATAATTAACATCAATCTATCTTTATCGTCATGCTGGCAACAGTCTAGTAGAAATCTGTCAATTTCAGACAGGCATTAGTGATAAGTGGAAACTGAAGGTGATTAGAGCTGATACAAAAATGAGACCTCTGTGGGCAAAATTGAAATAAAACCAATAAATAAAATCAGCATGGGCAGAGTTGGTGTGGATCTCCCCAAACACGTCTCTTTACTCTTGTTCTCTATTCTCTGTAACACCCCCCCTTGTGTGCTAGTGACACTCCTGCATTGCTTGGGGTGAAATACTTTAATTAAATAAATTGATGTCCAAAATCATACACAAACTTTTCTCACAAAACTACTACCCTCTGATACAATGTGGACTAATTAAAAACAATAGTGATAAAAATAAAAATAAATTCTAGTAATAAAATGCTACTACTTTTTAATGAACATTTAAAAGTAAATATTTACATTTCAACTTAAAATTAGATTTAAGTTAATGATTATCTGCTACAGAAATTTTCATATGATCTGGTTTATGAAATATTAATGTTTACAATGAAATACAAAAATACTTCAAATTAATCACTCAGTCAATATACAATCAAACATTAGTATCTATATCTATAATTCTTAAAATGTGTGTGTGTGTGTGTGTGTGTGATCGGATGATGCTTATGCGTTTCCACAGTATTCATCCGATTTCGATGAAATTTCTTTTTGTTTGATAGATAATTCTTCAGTGACGGTTTTGAGTCCAAATTGTTAGCAACAATGGCTCTCCACTACTTCCTGTCCATTATAACTCTCAGCAATGTTTTACTATTTACTACCTGTTCTTGGATATATATCTTTTGTAAAAACTTTAATAAAAATAAATAGTTTAAATTATTGCAATAATATTATCTACATATAATTCACAAAATGTGTGTGTGTATGTGATCAGATGTTATTAAAGCGTTTCAACAGTTTTCATCTGATTTCAATGAAATTTTTTTGTTTGATAGATAATTCTTCAGTGCCGGTTTTGAGTCCAAATTAGCTGGAAAAAATTACAACCTTGAAGGTGAAAAACTGATTTTTTACAGTTTATGCAAAAATCAAAGGCAAAATTTAATTTACTTTTTCATGTTTGAAACTGCTAATCAAAGGACTCAACGGCTGAGGAGTAATGCCTCTTCAGCTGCTGCTGCTGCACATGAGGCTGAAACAAGATTAAGAATGCAAAAACGACCCTTTTCAGGACCACCCAACATTCAAATTGTTACCCACCCATTTAGGGATGTGACTCAGTTGCACCCAAATGTTGTTACTGATATAGATTTTTGGAAGGACTGACTTTAAACTTAAACTTCTCCAATTGAATGGCAAAAATTTCCAGTAATTAAACACCTGGTCAAAGACGGGTTATACTGCTAGTAGCTTTATATGTTTAAAACTTTAGGAAAACAAGAGAAACCTTCAAGGAAAGATAAAAGCAAAAAGATAATCATGAACCAATTAACATATATATATATATATATATATATATATATATATTTAATCAAATTTACCCCAAGCAACACAGTAAAGCCACTAAGACAGTTACTGTTACAGTTACTATGAAAGAATTAGTAAAAAAAAAAAGAAACATTATTAAGGGGCGACAACAATAGAAGAGTAATCAAAAAAACAGTAGATTGACATTGTGTTTAAATTTTTGAAGATCAAAATTGGCTGAAAAGCATGGAGCTGAAAGAGAGTTCCACAAGTGAGAAATGTGAGAAAAAACTTAGTATAGAACTTAGTTACATCAAGACAATTCAACTGTAAATTGATGAAACCTTGTTGCTAATTTAGTACTGCACTTAAATTCATAAAGTCTAGGTACCATAATGAAGAGCTCATTTGAACAAGTACCATGAAAGTATTTATAGAAAAGGAACAGGGAACCAACTTTATGGTGATGGGAAAGTGACTAATGCTGAGATGCCAGGTCAGTATCAATAATATTGCTAATTCTTCTTTGGATTTTATTGAGAATCTCTAAATATATAGCAGGAGATCTGAACCATATGTGGCAGTAATAATTTTTTTAATTGTTTTTTCTTGTAAAAGTGCTGCACCTTGCAGCTAATTCATCAAAGAAATGCAAGCATTTTTTTTTATATTTTGGGAAGGGATTCTGTTTCTTCATATAAATGAAAATACTGTAAAGATTTTTTTTTCAATCATCTCCTCAGAATCTGAGATAATACAAAGAGGTTAACCTTAAGTAAATGTTCAATTGTTTCCAGTTGTCCATAGGCACAGGCCTCAAGGATTGGACTTTTCATCAAAGTGTTTTTACAGCTGGAAGGTTCCGTTCTTTCCTGAATTGTTTTTTGGATTTTGTTTTTCTTATTTGCCGCAGAAAATTGACCTAAAGAAATAGAAAAAACATCAAAAACTGACCTGGAGAAATAGAAAAAAAAACATCAAAATTAACCTGGAGAAATGGAAAAAACATTGATATGGAGAAATAGAAAAAACATAAAAATATACCAACAATCTATCTTATTAACTTGTTTTTTTTTTTAATCATAAAAACACTCTTTTTAGAGAACTTTATCCTTAATACAATGGGAAGAAGAAAAAGGGTCCAACCTTGTGGTTGGAATAGTTGCATATTTTTCTCCAGTGCTAATGTTCAGTTTTTTGAATACTGATTTTCACTGGAGACAGGCCTTCCTCACTTGAAAGATTTTCACATAATTATCTTCTTTTGGCTTTTTTCAAATATTGATAATAAGATCTAATAACCACAACAGACATACATTAAAAAGATACCAAGAAATCCATTTTATCTTAAATACAAAAGATAGTGTTAATGAGTACTATTCATATATTTAGAAAATTCTTTCAATAACATCCTAAGAGAAGCCTTCATTTGCTTTTGGTCTCAGCTGGAATATAATAATAAAAAAATTAAATATCTCCAAGAATTTCGTTGCCTTGCACTACACCTTGAGGATACCTTATATCACAGATGGCAATGCTGCTTGGAATAGCTTGTGTGCTAAGGAAAGCGTTGTATCTTTAAACTATGGGTAGGGGCTGAAATATGGCCAACATCTCCTGGCTGAAGCATTCAAGAGCCGAAGAGTATCTCAAATCACTAGTAATAATAAGTAAATAAATTATATTATATGATATAATAATGTAAATTATTATAAAATAATAAAAGACACTGTACATCAGTATCTGTCTATATTTCTGAGATGAGGTATTATGTACACTACATTATTCAGACTATACAATATCCAGTTAAGGCAATGGAGAACTTGGAAAGGGGAATTAACAGGAGATAACTGATAACTGACATCCATTAAACATGGCACATGGAACTAGAACAGTCTACTCCAGTGAGTGAAATATAGGGTTCAGTTTGACATTCCAACCACCTGAAGAAGGCCGGAGCATACAATGGCCAAAACATTGTAATAAATATGGTGACAAAGATGAGGACAATAGTCCATATAATGTAAATAGCGGACACTGTACATGTTAAATGGTGTGGTTTCCTGTTGCCTTCTCCAGTCTTGAATATTTGAATTGTGGTTTCCTTCTCTTAGACTAGTTACCACTCAGCTCTATACAGAACAATCTAGCCTGCTATTTAACCCATAGCAGGGAGAAGATATGGATTCATGATTTTCATAAGGGCATTAGTAAAAAAGTGAATTCAACAGACTGGCTTGAAATTCAAACTTGACTCACTGGTTCCCATTTCTATACAGATAGTTGTCGCACAACCTGAACATCCTATTTCTGTATATAATGCAATTGCAAAATTACTTATATATTGTTATCATTTTTTATAGCATTGATAAGCTATTAATAATAATAATTATGATGATAACTGTAATTAAGATGTTTCAGTGTGAGAAGTATTTTGAAATTGAGAGACCTTAGTTATTGTCTGCTGCTGCATTGGTAAGGTCTGTTATTAATAGTTTATTATAAAGAAGCTATTTCAAACCCCTGCAAGGGAAGCTTTATATATCAGTACTTATGACTAGTTTCCTTAGTCTGATTGATGGCCGACATAGCTGTATATTTCCCAATGGTATCAGAGGTTGGTGTTCAAGCTCAGATAAAAGTCAGGATGTCAAATACAGATTTTCAAGACAGGTTCTATTGTCTAAAGCAACAGAATCTTTTTATCCCATTCCTCTACCCCCAACTTGGCCAACTGGTCTTGTACTTGACTAAATGAAGTTTAGTAAATATCAATATCAATGAGAAAATGCTAGGCTTCTGATTTGCATATCAAGAGGTCTTAAGGGTTTTACTTTATATGCAAACATTGTTGGAAAAGAGTTACAAAAGCAAAGAGATATGTCCTCACGGATTTTCTTTATAGGTAAGAGTACAAGAGAAACTTCCTGAATATTATCCTTATGTGCAAGATCACAAGCCTTACACACAGTACAACAGAAATGTCATAAAAGCTTTGCTTTATGTGCAAGAGAAATGTCCTAAAAGTTTCGCCTTGCATACAAGAGTATAAGAGAAATGTCCTGAAGATTGTGTCTTATGTGCAAGAGAAATGTTCTCTACCTTTACATGTAACATTACAAGAGAAATTTCTTAAAAACTTGCTTTATATGTAAGAATACAAGAAAAAATTAATGCGGGTTTTTTGTGTTGCATACAAAATCATAAAAAACATCGAAATCCTAACAAAAACAGTTGACTTTTTAATGTGTCTGTACATCAATGTCCAGATCCTATTGAGGAAAAAAGCACACGGTAAATATTTATCAGCATAATATTTTTCTCTTGTCAGTGCACATAATTCAATGGTGAATATTAGTCACATAGTGACAATTTCAAACTTATTAATTCACCATCTTGTATTTAAAAAAAGTTTTCAAAGAAAATCTCTTTGAAGTCAAAACAAAATGCAATAGAGTGAAACATTTCTGGCCATAAAAAAAAACTTTTTTATAAGAAATATGCTAATACCTTTATTTCTTAAAAATTAATAATTAGCATACTTTATTTTAGAACTAAAACAACTTACATCTAAGGTATTTAACTCTAATGTAACAGGGATGCTGTACATTGATTCATCAAGTGAAATGTTCATATGTTTATACTTAAATTGTTTTCAATATTCAAGATCTCAAGTGTGTAAATTACTATAAAGTAGTTTGTAACATGTTTATTTACCACCTTTCAGTTGCATCTCTGCCTTTGGGCAGAGTGCACTCAGGGGTGGCTCTGTTGATTTTAAAAAAATATTTGGAAGAAAAACCTTAACTAGCAATTGTTGTAAAGCTGATTCAAGATATAAAAAGACGTCAAAGCTTGAAAAGTAGAATTCTGCAGCCCAGATGACTAGGTGTAGTATCTGTTTCAGCAGCCAACAGCCAGCCCACAGCTCCAGCCAGTCATCATCAGCAACTCCAGCTTGCCATTGGCTGCAGACTCCAGTCACCTCAAGCAGGCCCCAGCCAGCCATTCTTGCCAGCAGCAATGATATATGATACAGTCCTTTTCAGGACAATACTTTTCAACAACTACCAAATCTGTCCTTCTCAGTACAATGCTCTTCTCACCTACTACATAAACATTGCATAATTTTTGCCTAGGGTACTGTAATTTTATTTTTGTTGATGTATTTTCTTTAATGAAAATAAACTTGGTAATATATTTTTTACTCAAGTTTTGTGTTTTGTTGTCTTCCGTCATTCAATATCTGTTTGCAGGCCAATATACCACCCGTAACATAGTAAATGATTGTGAGTCTCTTGCAAAAAGGAATCATATCAAAAAAATCAAAATTTGTGATTTTGTAAAATTGTCAAATGTATGTTTGACAAAACAAATGCAATTGTTTGGCAGGAAAAAATTCGCAAACATAAGATTAAAAAATAAAAAACTTTTTTCTTTTAGAATTTTGTAGTATCAACATCTGTACTTCAGTTTTACATATTTCTCAAGAATATAATCTTCTGAATAAAATAAATATAATCTATAAATAAAATAATTCTGTAGTAAAATAGATTTGGGAAAATTAAACCCGAGTAATATTCAAAAATTGATACAAGCAACGGATTAGTTGATATAAATCATGATCACGGTTTAAGATACAAATAAATTTCTTCCTTGTCTCCTTACCATTTTGTCATCTGTGCCAAGAAACACTTCCCCGTTGCTGTGGAACAATTTAGTAGAATGAAAACATTAAAGGAAAAATATTTTGAAGGGCTACTTAATAAATGTCATATTGGATTTAAACAGGAAATTTTCACTAGAGAATGAATAGTTGCAAAGTATTCAATATAGCTAACATATCTCAGGAAAACACTTTTATCCTATAGTTACTATGATATATATATATATATATCAATGATCTAGGCTGGTTGATTAACAGTGACTTTACCATTAAAAAGAAAAGTGACAAAACAAAGGCAGATAAGGTGTAGTTGAGATGGCTAAAGAGTTTTTATCTCCCCTAATTCATGAGATTCGATCATTTGCTCATTCTGGAGTATTGTATATCAGACATGGGAGACTGAAAGTTTGGGTATAACACAAGGTAGTAGTCGAGATAAAGTCATGGGAGAAAATTGATATAGCTAACATGTGTAGTCAAGAGTTAGTCACTGCTGCTGCTATTTTTGTTGCTGGCTGAAGGTATCACAGTTGATGGAAGCGCTTTGGTGTCACATGCCTTGGGCACTCATGTAGTCTCTCACATTTGGTTAAGCTCGTCTGCCATGGGGTCCGTGTGGGTTTGTGTGTGGAATCCACATTATAGTGAATCAGTGGCTAAGAAATGGGCCTTAAAATTAAGTTAATAAAATTAAGTTACGTTTTTTTTTTCATATGAGTTGAGAACATCAAAGTTAGTATTTCTATTTGAATTAAGGAATTGGAGTACTAGCAGTGCATGACAAGAGACACTTACTCAAACATACACCCTTGTGCAAATTAATTGAAACAACCACTTTAGTTTCTTTTCTTTCACCATGAAGTTAATTTTAGACTCACTGGACTTACAGGGTGTAATTGATTTCTTTTTTTTCCTCAGATTAGGTCATTTGCAGTGATGTGCAGTAATATGAATCTATTTTCAGGGTGTATGATGAAATTTGTTTGGTTTCGAGAAAGATTGTGTCATCTGTGATTGCATCAGATTTTTATCACACCCAGACACTATTGTCTTGACTGTCAATTAGTTGTCCTACAGACATTGTCTATAGTGGACGTTACTCCAAGGAAGTGTATGAAAATTGTAACGCTGCGCAAACACACAGGCAAGCCTTACCAGTGAGCAAATAAAAGTACTATAGATTGGCCCCAAAACTCTCTTGATTTAAATCCAATCGAGAATCTGTGGTCAAGCTGCAAGGAATGGACATATGAAATACCAACATGTGCACTGGGTCATGTTTCATTGGAAAAATATGAAAAAAGTAAATAATAACAGAATTATTTGTTTTGTTTCAATTAATTTGCACAAGGTTGTACTTATCTACTAAAAATAATGTTTATCGTAATAAGAAATAATGTTGGATTAAAAAAATCCATTAATTGCTTAGATGACTGTTTATGATTTGGATTCAAAATATAAGTTAGCACATCACAAGTCTGATAAACCATTAGGGTTGTAGGGGCACCACCTGTACTGCAGCCAAAGCAGCAATGGTGTGTCTTGGGCAAGATAGCCTGATTGACCCCAACCGTCTCCAGGTTGGTTTGAATTCAGAGCTTTCCTTCTCCTATACTTGTCACCAACCAAGGCTATAGAAACCAGTCTATCCTGCTATTTACCCATAGTTGGGGGGGGGGAGAGAAGAGATGGATTCATACCTTTCCCAATGGTATTAGCATGTAAGTGAATGTAATGAACTTAACTGGACTTCAAACTTGGACCTCTGATTCCTCAACCCGAGATATTATCCATTATGCCAATGTGCCTCATAATAGCAGATACAGAACCTGAAAAATCCCAAATTCAAGATGTACATTTCTTAAAAGGAATAACTGAGCTTTGCCTTGCTGTAGGTACCTCCATGATAAACAGTAACAGCATGCCTAGCTAAAGTTGTTTCCCAGATAATGGGAATGCAGGTTCAATTCATGCTGAGAAGTTAGTTATGAGCCATGCATGATACATGTTTAGGTGATCATGTATCTTTCAATATGTAGGCAAGTTCCAACCTGCATCAAAAAATCAGGTTATCGTGCTGTAGAAACGAATCTGCAACATAAGTTGAGGACCCACTCGGGTTTCAATCCCGGTTTGAAGCAATCACATGTCTAGCCACATTGATGAGCTGTGATACAACGAAACAGTCTGTCTGTGGATGACTATATATATATATATATATATATATATATATATATATATATATATGGGCATGTGGCTAAGTGGTTAGAACATTTGATTTCCAGCCATAACATCCAGGTTTGAATTTCACCATTGTCAATCAGGAAGTTGACCATGATGGTATTAGCCTGAGGAGGCAATCCCAGTATATGGCATCTACAGAAAGTGCCTGAAAATTTAACCATATGTTGACCTGGGCTTTGTGAGTGAAATTGGGTAAAGAGAAATGTCTGTTAATGGTTGAGTTAATGCAAAGTTACAAGTCATCGTAACCGAGTTTGAGCATATTGAAGTTGTTCAGACTGTTGATCATACCAGATGATGCGATATCTCCTAGAAACTGTAACTAAGGTCGGCTCAGCACAGTTGCAGCATAAACCATAGGCAGAATCTGTGGGTATTGAACAAAAACAAATGTGTCAGAGCAGGAGTCTGCAACAGGAGTTCTGGTTATCAGATCTGATAAGGTAATTTAATTTATTGCCGCTCTTATCCTCAAAAAAATTTCATTGCATTTTCCTTACACATAGTTTTGTCTTTCATTCCAACCTGAAGACACTGAACCTAACACAATTCGTTGGTGAAGCGTATCATTAAATAACTTTTTCCACTTTGTTCCATTATCTCAACTTTTGTTTCATATACTGTTATACATCCTATTAACAGACTTAAAAATTTATGTATAAAAATCCTCCATATGTTGAATTCATTTTTTTTGAATATGTTGAAGTATATTTTGTTTTTGAAAGTGCTGAATTCATTTACTTTGAAAGTTTTCATCTTAATTGGCAACAAGTTGTAACTTCTCTTGTTACAAACTGGTGACCAACATTAGTCTCGTCAATTAGAATCCTGTAGCACCAATCAACAGATATAATTTTGAAGTCCATCTTTGAAGCTAACCCAACACTGAAATATATTTATTCATCCATGTGCAGAAAAGCCTGAGTTTTTCAGATAGTCTTTTTCTTATGACAGACATAATGACATTGCATCTCAATTACACATAATGTGCACACATGTCAGGAAGTTACTTGTCTTCAAAAAGACATTCATCACTATTCTAACTCATAAGTAATTAACTGCAAAAAAGAAAAATGCATCAGTACTCTGCAAATCAACTTTCAATGATTGGATGCCTTCCCAACTGGACACAACAAGCCAATAATCAAATAACTTCATCAAAATTTCGAGAAGTTATTTCTTTCATCTTAATAATAGTCAAGTAGAAAATAATAAACAAATTTTCTCATCCAGTTTAGCTCTTTTTGAAATGAAAGAAATGTTTAAATGATTTTTTAGTGGTAGAAAAAAAATGTTTAAATGATTTTTTAACTATAGAAAAAAATGTTTAAATGATTTTTTAACGATAGAAAAAATGTTTAAATGATTTTTTAACGATAGAAAAAATGTTTAAATGATTTTTTAACTATAGAAAAAATGTTTAAATGATTTTTTAACGATAGAAAAAATGTTTAAATGATTTTTTAACGATAGAAAAAGAAATGTTTGAATGATTTTACTGATAGAAAAAGAAATGTTTAAATGATACTTCAATGATAAAAAAAGAAATGTTTAAATGATTCTTTAATGATACAAAAGAAATGTTTAAATCATTTTTTAATGATAGAAAAATAAGTGTTTAAATGATACTTCAATGATAAAAAAGAAATGTTTAAATGCTACTTCAGTGATACAAAAGAAATGTTTAAATGATTTAAGAATAGAAAAAGAAATGTTTAAATGATTTTTTAACAACAGAAAAAGAAATGTTTAAATGATTTTTTATGATACAAAATGAAATTTTTAAATATTTCAATGATAAAAAAAGGAAATGTTTAAATGATTCCTGAATGATAGCAAATATAGATATAGCTTTGTAGTTTGGCACAAGGATTTGAATTCAAAGTAGCAAAATTTCTTTTGAAGATTTCTTTTGTATAGCTTGAAAAAGCAGAAACATGAAGTTAACTGTCAAAATGAGAAACGGGTTACAATTCCTCTTAAGCAGACCGTTTTTTGATCAACCCTTATCAAAGAGTATCACTAGGAAGTTTAAAATGTTAAACTGTAAAACAGAATTACCAAGGTTCAGAAGCAGACATTAATGATTTAGGATGATCAAAAAGCTGGCTGCTTAAGAGGAATTGTATTGTGTTTCTTTTTGACAGTTAATTTCAACATGTTTCCGCTTCTTCAAGCTATATAAAAGAAATTTCAAAAATAAAATTTGCTATTTTGAATTCAAATCCTTGTTGTTTTTATATGTTGTTCCTACACAAGCATAATAATAATCATGCATCTACATGAATGTAAGTGAAGAGACTCTTTCCTGCTACCATAAAAAAAAACTATAGGAAGCTAATAGAAATAGAAATGTTAATATATACAGGAAATAAGCAAACTGTTTGACAGAACTTTCCATCTTTTTAACTCAATCTTCATTTGTTAAAAACATATTCTTTAATGAATATAAAACTTATTTTCTTTAATATTCATTTCAGTCAACAATTTAGAAATATTCAAATATTTAAATGTTATGAAGGTGAATGTAGCCACACACCCACATTTATATATCTGTAATGGGTATGTCGTTTACGGTCAAGTGATACTAAAACACCAGTTCTTGTTTGATCACTGAAGTTAAGCAGTATTGGGCCCAGTCAATACTTAGATAGGGAACTGCTTGAGAACATTAGGTACTGCAAGTGAAAACTGAGCACAAAACCAGTTGGGTCTTGGGCTAGCAACTTCATCCCATAAAACATTACTTGTTATGGAAACCACAGCAGTTAGGTTTAGTTAGTAGGGATCTCCATAAAAAATGTGATACCTAATCTTTAAAATTAATTTTTAAAAATGAAAAATCTTTTTTGAAGCTTTTACTTTAGTTTTAATTTCAAGCTAATATATTAAATCTAATATTTCCAATAAGCAAACTATTTTACTGTATTTAAAAAAAAAAAATTAATTTAAATTGACTGGAAGGGGATTAGTGATCTTTTTTTAGTCATCTTTCAACAGAATGTAATTCTCTTTATTAAAAAATCTTCCAAAAATAAAAGATACTTTTCTGAAACTTTATTTGAGGAATAATAACTGATTTAAAGAATAATGTGATTTGAAACAAATATTATTTACATTAAGTTTAAAATATTGCAGAAATGCATATTTTAACCCAACAGTAACTATTTTGATGTGTTGAGATCCTAATGACAGGTCTAATGTTGTTCTACGGAGACTTTATCTGTGAAACATAATGTAAGAAAATGATGTGAGCACCTTTTTTATATAATTTTGAAGTACTTATTAATCTTTAAAATTTAGGAAAATATTCACTGTAATCTAATATTTATTGAATTTTAGAAATGTTGACTTTAAATTTACTATAGTTATTGCTCTTATTTTCTGATAATGTTGTGTATGGTTGCCTGTATTTACAAAATATCAACACGTTTATACACACAGACAAAAAAAATTCAAAATTCTTTTACAAATATTGGTGATTGATGATTTGTATAAAGTTTTTCCATTTATGATTAGTAAATATAGCTTTCACTTAATAATCATATCATCTAAAAGGCTGAATTTTAAAAGATTTAAAACTTAATAAATTTTTCTAATTAAAATTAAAAAAAATGAAAATTCTTGAAAAAATTCATTGGAAATTTTTTTTCTTAAGACAGACAATAACTTATTTATAAAAGCAATTGAAAGATTTTCTAATTAAATACTGTCATAGTTTTATTGTATTTTTTATTTTATGATTCAGACTAGATTTTTGGTAAATGGTGGTTCTGTTTGACAAAAACAAATTGATGATTTAATTAATATAAATATGAAATTTTAATTTCTTGAAATTTCATAAAATTAAGTAAGTGGGAGAAACATGCAAAAAAAAAAAAAAAATATATAATAATTCCATTCATTTGTGAATAAATCCTGAAAATTTCATTAAAATCTGACAATTATATGATTTTTGCAAGAATCACAAAAACAATGTGTTTTTAACACCAAAAAAAAAGATGCTAAAAATTCCTGTACTAATCTTTGGTGATGCAAGAGAAACAAGATTTTTAACCAAAAATTTGAATGTATTAAAAAGGATTAAAACATTTAATAAAATAATCAAAAAATACTTTGGCCTTTCATCTTAAAAAATATTTTTATGATAAAACTTTGTTTTTATCAAGTTTGGGGCCCGTTTTTCAGCATGGTATGCTCTTTTTAGCAAAATTTTGGAGGTACCTTGGTTGTTGAAACCTGTGGCTTCATACTCGTCAATGGAATCTATGGAACTAAAGGAGTAAGAGAAGGAATGGGTATGTCAGCCTCAGATCATGCTGGAATAGGCTCTACACTCGATTTCACACCATTTAGGAGAGAGTATATCTTATGAACAATTAAATATGATGATAATGAAACTGAAGGGAAGGAGAGAGCATATCTTATGAACAATTAAATATGATGATAATGAAACTGAAGGGAAGGAGAGAGCATATCTTATGAACAATTAAATATGATGATAATGAAACTGAAGGGAAGGAGAGAGCATATCTTATGAACAATTAAATATGATGATAATGAAACTGAAGGGAAGGAGAGAGCATATCTTATGAACAATTAAATATGATGATAATGAAACTGAAGGGAAGGAGAGAGTATATCTTATGAACAATTAAATATGATGATAATGAAACTGAAGGGAAGGAGAGAGTATATCTTATGAACAATTAAATATGATGATAATGAAACTGAAGGGAAGGAGAGAGCATATCTTATGAACAATTAAATATGATGATAATGAAACTGAAGGGAAGGAGAGAGCATATCTTATGAACAATTAAATATGATGATAATGAAACTGAAGGGAAGGAGAGAGCATATCTTATGAACAATTAAATATGATGATAATGAAACTGAAGGGAAGGAGAGAGTATATCTTATGAACAATTAAATACGATGATAATGAAACTGAAGGGAAGGAGAGAGTATATCTTATTCTTATGAAGCATTAACTGTGGGAACTTTCAATTATTATATAATCTCTGGTGATCTTAGAAATTAAGGAAAAAGTATTTCCAGAAATATTTACACCTCTTCCACTAAAAGAAAAAACACTATTGTAGCGGACCGTGGCGGTGATGAGTATGTATTGTAGAAGAATACACGTGAGTTAAAATTTCCTGCTAGCCGGTACAACTACATGAGAAGGTTGGACTTTAATTAAGTCCAAAGAAAACAAAGAAGACAGATAAATATATGTAAACAAATATATGTATTAATAACAAGTACAAGTTACAAGTACATGGACAGTTACATTGAGTGCGTGTGGTGAATATTATGTGTGTGTGTTGTGGTGAGTGTTCGTACGTACGTGTATTGTTCTTAGCGTGTTCCCAGAATTTGGGAAACACTGTATCTATGAGAGCTCACATCTGCGAGGTGGTACAAGGCTGAACGCCTGAGGAAAAAAGAGACCGAGGCGAAGGGTCAGCCAGTATTTATAGCCAGGGGAGAGGGAGACCCCTGGTGAAGGGTTAAGGAGCTGAGGAGGAGCTAACTTCGACTATACAACTGAATATTGCTTTGATATTTATGTTATGGAATTGGTGCTTCATTACCAAACTTCTTTTGGCATTTTTTGCTAGTATCTTTGTTATCTGTCTATATTTCTGAGATGAGATATTATGTACACTATTTACATTATTCGGACTATTGTCCTCATCTTTTTCACCATATTTATTACACTGTTTCGGCCATTGTATGCTCTGGCCTTCTTCAGGTGGTTGGAATGTTGAACTGAACCTCTTTATTTCGCTCACTGGGGTAGACTGTTCTAGTTCCATGTGCCATGTTTAATGGATGTCAGTTATCAGTTATCTCCTGTTAATTCCCCTCTCCAAGTTCTCTACTGCCCTAGCTGGGTATTGAACTCACACTCTTTGGATCCTGTCACTGGATCTAACTAACGCCTTTATCCACTGTGCCAGTGAGCAAAATAAAGGGTTCAGTTCGACATTCCAACCACCTGAAGAAGGCTGGAGTGTACAACAGCTGAAACGTAATAAATATGGCGACAAAGATGAGGACAATAGTTCGAATAATGTAAATAGTGAAGTATCTTCATTGTTGGCATTTTTGTCAAAATTATACCAACATTGTAGTTTTAAAATTATTTCATTTTTAACGTTATTGTGTAGAGATTATTGTTGGTTCTGACTGGAATTTATTTCAGTCCAACTACTAACAACATAATAATTTTAATTTGTTGTTAAACAGTTTATCTATGGTGTTCTAAAGTTGCTATAAGGTGGAGCTGGGGGGGGGGCTTTTGTTCTCCCACTTTTTGCTGAAATTGAGATCTAAACAGACAGCTAAATTTGGCATTTTGCTTTCAATCTCTATGACAATGCTATTAAAAACTGGGCTGTATTATTGGCTTAAAAATACTGTCATTAATTTTCAAAATAAATCAGAAAACTTCATTACCCATTGTTTTTTCTGAAACATTATGTATGAAAAATTATATAGAGATCTCATCCCAGAAAATTAATACAAGAAAAAAAATGTGTATTTTAAAATCAAAACAAAAAAAAATACACACACACACAAAGTACACGCCAAAAACTTTTAATTTAACATTTGGTTTTTAGCACCTTCCCTCATTCTTTTATTTTGTTTTGCGGTACTCTGCGCTCCATTACAATGGCATAGATCGTAAACTTAATCATCTTTAATGCTAAATTTACCTATTTATTGTTAGACCTAAGGTAATAAAAATTGCTTTATATAGCAAAAGAAAAAGAAAAGAAATTATGACCATCGTATCTATGTCAAAATTAAGCAGAGTTTTTAGTACACATTAAGCCGATAAGGCGATCGATAATCACTAATCATAAAAACTCGGCATTACCAATTTATGAAAAGCTTTACAAATAAATCCGAGTCGTTTTTAAGAGCCATTTACTATTATTTTTTTTTACAATCAATTCAGTGTGATGACGGTGGAAATAAAATAACCCTATTGCTGAGTAAAAATGAAAAAAAAGAAGACATTGCAGATGGCCAGTCCTTTACTAAAAAAAAAAAAAAAAATATCAAGTTACTCGAATAGTCTGTCAAGTTTATGATGACAGATACTAAGTTAAAAAAGTAAACCAAAAAAAATACTACAGTGTGACCCGGATATAAGAGAGATTTTCTCTGGTCCCAAAGAGCCTGTGTTAATGTATAAAATAGACCAAACCCGGATATAAGAGAAACCCGGATATAAGAGACTTCTTCTCCGGTCCCGACAACTCTCTTATATCCGGGTTACACTGTATTATTGTCCAAATAGAAAGTAAAAAAAATAAATATCTGGTATTTTGACTTAAAGAATTAGAAATTTGCAGTTGTAGAGATACATTACTTTTTATTACCATTATTGCATAAGAAAAGTCATTTTAATGCGCTTTTGTCAGTGGTCGTTCCCTTAAATAGCTCTCCTCCGGACGGCGCTAGCTAGAGTCATTGCCCGGCATCTGAAGCGTACCCTACAACGGGTAAGTCTCTAGGTGGTGGTGATGTACTCGTGGTATCCCACCCCACTTCAAAATGGACCTTACATTCCACTAAAAAAGTGTGTGTGTGTGTGTGTGTGTGTTTTAACAATATCAAAATAACAGTAACATAAAAAAAGAAACATCGGCATTTTTTCTCATTT